AGTTGGCTCTTTTATTGGTATGCCGAAGCGAACATCTCTCTCACACGTATAACACTGTTCTACAAACAATAATATAGGGTCTTTACGTTCCGACGACGCGATGGCAGTGACAGCGTCGCTTAAAAAAGTGAAGTTACGTTCCGTTACGTTACGTTACGTCCTTTATTATTCTTTATGGCGATTATTCCTACCATTTACTTCATCAAAAGTAGGCGAACCCTCCTGGAGTTGAATTCCTACGGTATATCCCTATCCAAGTTCAGAAAGAGAAATAAAATTTCGTCATCGCTTGTTTACGTCCTCCTTAAAAGGTAAAATGAGGCAATTTCCGTCGAAGTCGTGCAAAAACGACAAAGAAATGTACAAAAAAGTGTGATGCACGTGCGAAGTTGTTGTTTTGCCTCCTAAACCTATTGTGTTTTATACATTCTCGTTGCCATCGTGTCGTCGGACATCTTTGGTCACCCATAAGAAGGAAATGTGTAAGATTTAAACAAACTCTCTGGGGAGGGGGTGGGAAGAAAACGCTCCCTCTACCCCCACCCCTTCCATCGTTTCTTGACGTTGCTACGGGCTACTTAAAACCTGACTGTATTAAAAAGAAATTTAAAAATACACCCCTTTTTAAGGCACAAAAACGAAAATTGACACCCTATATTCAAGGGAAAACTGATAATTAATTGAAAGGGTTTAATCAAATAGGTATATAGTGTCAACATTTTACACAGTTCCATTATAGTGTTGTTCATTAAATTAGGTAGCTTAAATAGTCTGTTATAACATAACAAAAGAAAATCGCGCGCTCTGATTGGTCAGTTAGCCACTACCATTTGCCCGTGGGTGCACAAGGGTGCACGCCAAGAAACTGAGCTAGCGCGGTAAAATTTAGGCAAATTCAACAAATCTCCTCTCCTGACGGTAAAATACACCGATGAAATGCACAGATTAAAAGTGGAAGTTGAAGAAAATACTAAGCTGTCGTTTTGAAGGAAAAAAGACAAAAGATCAAGCGACAAATTTGCCCTGGATGAATTAATCACTGTTTTCCTCGAGGCTAGAATCGGGTGAAGGAAAATTGAGCTAGCGAAGATTTAAGGTACATTTTGTATGTTTTTTATAGAAGAAAAAGTCTATTTGAAATGTAAATTTATCAATTAGCATTGTGTTATTGACTTTTTGGTCAAGCTGATGCTAAATTCAAGCAAATATTTTAGGAAACACGCTCAAATTCGAGACAGCTTTGTTGTGAAGTTTTCATCGATTCGATTAAAAGTTTAAGTTGAGTTTAAACGGGCACATTACGCTGGAATAAGCGAATTTCATTTGAAAACAGAAACATTTGGGTTTTCAAATAATATATTTGTCAAAAAATGACTTCTGTGTGTATTATTTTGTTCCTCAGTGTTCATTCACAACAGTCGTCCAGAGAACGGTCGAAAAACACAGCTTCAGCGCCGGCTGTGTGTCGGCGAATTTCAGTTTTTACTTTTGACTTTCATAGCTGGATTTCCCGAGACAGATTTTGATACAAAGCTAGTTAATTTCTTTGTAAAATTAGTGTTACCTGTTATTCTAAAGGAATTACCTTCAAATTTTCTCATTTCTACTTTACGTTTATTTCAAAAATTGTCACATAAATAAGGTTGATAATTATTTCATTTATTTAGTTTTAGCTTGTTTTTTAGAGTCTTTTTAGTTGGTGTTTATAGTTGCAGCTATAGTTTTCCCTCAAAGTTTTTACCCTAATATTAAGAGCAAGTAGACAGGTGCCATTTAGAATAACAACGAAAAACGTTTTGCAATTTTCCTGAAGACGGGGAACGGTTGATTCAGCGAAAGAAAACTCAAAGGCAAGTTTTTGAAAAACATAGAACATAATTTGTTTACGCGCGGGCAGGTGGCAGCACACTTGAACTCGTACCGATGACTCAACCGAAGGCAAACGGAAAATAATGTTTTTCTCTTTTGATTATGTTATAAAAGAAATGGTAAACGTTGCAGCTGTGCAACTGTGCAACCATGGAGTTATGGAGTTAATTGTGTTGCGACTGCTTGTTCAGTTTATTCTGACTGAACTGAACAGAACATAAGCAACACAACTCGTCATATCGACAACAAAAACTCAGTAAGATTGGCAAGTTGTCGACTAAATCTCGTAAAATCTTATATTGCCGCATCCGAAATGTACCACGATACCCGTCGTCAAAACTAAAGTAATAGTTTTTCTGTGGCCAATTTAAATTCCTCTGGATTAAATAACTCTAGGCCTAGCCTTAGGGTCGAGGTTGGGGTAAGCTCCAAGGGAAAAACATTAGCGTCTAAAGTTTGAAACCAAGTGCAAAAGGTTCGTTTTCACCAAGACTTTTAGGTATTCATCTTTAAAAGTGATTTCAATTAAAAAATCTTGGATCTTTGATATAACCTTATTTTATCCTAACCCTAACCTTAGGCCAAGCCTTAGGGTTAAGGTTTGGGTAATCGCCATGAAAAATAATTGGCGTTTAAAGTTTTAAACAAATTGCAAAAGATTCGTTTTGGCAAAGACTTTTGGTTATTCATCTTTAAAACTGATTTGAATTTAAAAAACCTTGGATCTTGGATGTAACCCTAACTTAACCCTAACACTAGGCCTAGCCTTAGGGTTAAAGTTGGGGTAAGCTCGTAAGAACACCATTGGCGATTAAAGTTTGAAGCCCAGTGCAGAACATTCGTTTGGAGAAAGTCTTTTAGGAATTCATCTTTAAAACTGATTTGAATTAAAAAAAAATGGATCTTGGATTTAAAAATCACGTAATCCTAACCCTAACCCTAACCCTAACCCTTGGTCTAGCCTTAGGGTTAGGGTTAGAGTAAGGTCCTGGGAAAACCATTAGCGTTTGAATTTTGCAACATAGGGCAAAAGATTCGTTTGGACAAAGACTTTTAGGGATTCATCTGTAAAAGTGATTTAAATTTAAAAATTTTGGATCTTTGATGTAACCCTAACTTAACCCTAGCCCTAGAACGTGGGGTTAGGGTTAGGGTTAGGGTTGGGGTAAGCTCCTGGGAAAACCATTAGCGTTTCAAGTTTGAAAATAAGAGCAAAAGATTAGTTTTATTAAAGACTTGTAGGTATTTGTCTTTAAAAGTGATTTGGATGAAAAAATCTTGGATCTTTGATGTAACCCTATTTTAACCCTAACCCTAACCCTACGTGTAGCCTTTGGGCTAACGTAGGGGTAAGATCCGGGGAAACCATTAGCGTTTAAATTTTGCAGCTAAGGCCAAAAGATTTGTTTTGACAAAGGCTTTTAGGGATTAATATTGAAAACTGATTTGAATTAAGATTAAGGTTAGCTTAATCCTAACCCTAACCGTAGGCCTAGCCTGAGCGTTAGGGTTGGGGTAAGCTCCTGGGAAAACCATTAGCGTTTAAAGTTTGAAAACAAGAGAAGAAGATTGTTTTATCAAAGACCTTTAACGATTGATCTTTAAAGCTGGTTTGAATTAAAAAATATTGGATCTTGAGTATAACCCTAACTTAACCCTAACCGTAGGAATAGGCTTACGATTAAGGTTGGGGTATAAAGCTCCTGGGAAAAGCATTAGCGTTTAAAGTTTGCGACTAAGGGTAAGAAATTCGTTTTAACAAAGACTTTTAACGATTGATCTTTAAAACTGATCTGAGTTAAATATACTGGATCTTGGATGTAACCCTAGTCCTAAAACTAGATCTAGCCTTAGGGGTTACGGTTGGGGTAAGGTCCTGGGAAAACTATTAGCGTTTAAAGATTGAATCTAAGTGCAAAAGATTCGTTTCGACCAAGACTTTTAGGGATTGATCTTTAAAACTGATTTGATTTTAAAAAGTCGGATCTTGGATGTAACCTTGACTTAACCCTAACCCTAACCGTAACCCTGGGTCTAGCCTTAGGGTTAAGGTTGGTGTAAGCTCCTGGGAAAACCATTAGTGTTTAAATTTTGCAACTAAGGGCAAAAGATTCGTTTTGACAAAGACTTTTAGGGATTCATCCTTAAAAGTGATGTGAATTAAAAAATATTGGATCTTGGATGTAACCTTAACTTATTCCTAACCTTAGGACTAGGTCGGGGTAAGGTCCTGGGAAAACCATTAGGGTTTAAAGCTTGAAACTAAGTGCAAAAGATTCGTTTTATTAAAGAGTTTTAGGTATTTGTCTTTCAAACTGATTTGAATTAAAAATCTTGGATCTTGGATGTAACCATAACTTAACCTTAACCCTAAACCTAACCCTAGGACTAGCCTTACGATCAATTTTGGAGTAAGCTCCTGGGAAAACCCGTACCATTAGCGTTTAAAGTTTGAAACCAAGTTCAAAAGATTCGTTTTGACAAAGACTTTTTAGGATTAACCTTTAAAACTGATTTGAATTAAAAAATCTTGGAAGTTGGATGTAACCCTAACTTACCCATAACCCTAACCCTGACCCTAAAGCTATTGTAAGGCTTAAGTTAGCGTTACATCCCAGATCCAAGATTTTTTAGTTTGAATCAGTTGTAAAGAATAATCCCTAAAAGTCTTTCTTAAAACGAATTTTCTGCACTTAGCTTTAAACTTTTTAAACGTTTTAAATTCAAACATTTTAAAAAATGTTTTGTATTTTTAGTAGTAATGATTCATAGCAGCGGACGTCCTTGATCCAGATTTTGCTTAAATAAATGTAAAAATACAACAGACAAATGTTATCAGGCATTGGCAATAAATGAATAAATAAAATAAAATAAAGTGGATTAGAGTTTTGGTATTCTCAGTTACCGTGAATGACACTATGTCCTCTGGCGTTCAACATATACACATGCCAATTTACGCGTTATAAGTAATAAAATTATTATAATGATGATGATGATGATGATGATGATGAGGACGATGATGATGCTGATCATCATCATTATCATCGTCTAAATCGTTATCAGCATCATCCTTTTTATTGTCAGTCATCCTTCTGTTTGTAGCCTGCGGTTAAGTTACCGTTCCTCGTTCTTTAATGATCTTTGTTCCTTTCTCGTGTCTCTTCATATAGGACCCTTACACATTGCGGCTGATATCGAAGGTCCATGAACTCCCTTCCAAAGTGTGTCGCCCCAGGTAGTGTCCCGTTTATACTCCGATAATATGCAAATTTGTATTTAGGGCCACGAACTTGCCAGTTGGACCAGATTTTATCCAGGAAGGCGTGGTGACACCAGAATTCAGGTGCAACGGCAGATTCATCTTCAGACATTGTTCCGCCGATGGCATCATGAAAATCATTGTGCATACGGTTAACAGCAGCTTCAAACCTGCTAAACCGACTCCAAGTAATTCGATTTAGACTATTAACAAATCGTTGGCCTGGCAGATCGGTGTCATAATCAAATTCTCTGGAAAGACATTCTGAATTTAACCATGTTGGTAGCGACCACTTTCCTTCTTTGAAAGGCCCACTTTCAACGCAACCAGATCTAGAGTCACCATTGCCACCAAAGCCGTGAGTCCCCGGATTCCAGATATCTCGTAATCCCGTGTGGCGCCACAGGCGGTTTTCTGAAACGGCACGTGCCCAATTCCAATATGGCACCGTCACGCGGCAGTCCACTCGGCGAAGAAGATTTTCAAATTCGTACAGATACCAGCGATGCCAAGGAAAAAAAAACTTTTTCTCGTGAATTACTTTGAAAAACATGGGGTGAAGGGCAGTGAGAGCATCGTAGGTCCTGTTATAAGGGTCTTCCGTAGATACTGCTTTAAAGGCCCTCACGTAACGACGCCGTTCCGTAAAGGACATTTCTGTGAATTCCTTTCGTATTCTGTAACAATCGCTGGGTCTTCCAACTTTACAAAGGCAGCGGCGATTACATTCATCGTAAACTATTCCTTCGCCAGAACAACTGTGATTGAATCCTAAAAGAGTATCAGGAGCCATAATCAGGTAGCATACCGGAAGTGAGGGGTCCACGCGGTTCTATCGAAATAGCCAAATGAGCTCTTTTTAGAACAAACTGCACCACACTCAACGTCACAAACTCTCACGGGAACCGAAGAGTTGGCGTGGCTCTTGTATGGAATTTCAGGAGATGGGCGATCGTTTTACAACTTTATTTGAGTGTTTTATATCTTTTCAAGTGGTTCATATCTTGATAGGCAATGCATACACAGTTGTTTATCCCAAAAGACCTTGCGAGGCTGTAATGGGCCAGAAGTAAGAATAAAGGGAAACAAGCCAAGGGGAAAAATATGATTAAAATCAAAACAAAAATAAAACGAAAGAATATATACAACAAAGAAAAAACGGCTTAACCGAGAATCGAACCTGGCACATCAGCGCGGAAGGTCGCCTCCTAGACCACTGCGCCACGCCGCCAAGGATATCTTCAACTGGGAAAATTATTATATTTAAAAGTATTATTTCCATGGAATTCTGACGGTAGATACTGTTTGAAACTTGTGGAGCTGTATTTGTTATGAATTCAAAGAATTCAGGAAAATTAGTTATAATTTTGTTGTTGTTGTTGCTGTTAACGTCCCGCCCTTCTTTTCTCCGCACTTTTTTTTTGACTGTTTGTTTCGCCTGAACGGGATATTAGGGTGAGGCTGATTAAGCAACAAAACGGGAACGTCAGTTGACGACGGCGTGCGCAAATCAAACAATTGGCTTGACCAATGGCAGAGCGGCAAACTGAACACCGGAAGTCGTGTTTAGTCCTTTCCGCGCGCTTTCTCGTTCTCAACTGACTTACATTCACATTCACATTCACATTCCTCACATTTAGAGCTATTGTCAAAGAGGTTCACCTCAAGGTCTTGCCTCAAATTCACTAGAGGAAGCAATTATGACAAAAATTGAATTTATTCATCTCTTACGGAGGTAATTTCCGACGCCATTTTGTCTGGTTATCTTTTGCGTGGCGTCTTCGAAAAAAAATTCGCGCGCTTGTCATACGAGATGGCACAATTTGTGCTAAAAATAGCACATTTGGCTATTTCGATCGAACCAACCCTATTACTGGAAAAGGTGCTAGTTGCAGTCTCCTTCCCCGATTATGGTCCCTGAGAGTATTCTTAATTAGGAAGATTATTGATTATAAATACTAAAGGGATCTCCTCCAAATTGTTTGTAATTTAATTATTGTGTATCGCGTGAATCAATCTCCTTTTAGCGGAAAGTAATTATGTCATTTCTTGTAAACGAAATAATATAGGAGTTATATCTGCGGGACATTGTACCACTAATTTAAGGTTTACACGGCTTGATAAACTCAAAGATTCGCACGTTCTTAGTTAAAACTTATTTACCTTTGCCATTAAAAGCCTTTGATGCCTTTAAGAGATCTTTAAAGTCGTTAACTTGGAAAACGTGGGTATCCAATGGCTCACTTGCAACTTTGCTTAGATCGATGTTAATCACCTGCTTGCCGCCAACTTTAAAAACAAACACCTCCACCCCATTTTCTGCCAATGATTTGGCGGTACGAAGAGCAGTCAACGCTGAAGAATCAAATGAATTACTCTCCGCAATAAGAAAAAGTAGTTGTTGGGCCTTCAGCTTTTCTTTTTTTGGTTGTGAATACAGGTTTGATGTTAGGAAGTGGAGAAGGTGATCTAAAGAGGCACTTCGTCCAGCCGCAAATCTGTAGAGAAAGAACATCTTGCATAGAAATCACTGCTAAATACATTACTGATTTTATTTTGTGACCTGCGAGTTAGTAAGCTGTCTCAAAATAAGTTAGAGACAGTGGGGGCTATAAAATTGCTCTTAACCCAGAGAGACAGAGGGTGTCGAAACGTCATATTGAATTTTGACGATCGTTTTCAGGACAAACAAGTGTGGGTAAATATTCACCATTCAAAAGTCATACTATAATTTATCTAGATAGTATACTATATACATAACTGTTTTTTTTTAACAGTTTGAGTTATTTACCTAATAGATGAGATCGCTTTTAACGTGCATTCCATGTTAAAAAATTCATGCCAGCTGAAATCCAGGTGTGGGTCGTGTGAATAAGTCACCATGGCAACCCTTGTCCCTGAAGGAGACACACTGAATTCTTGTACAAGTTTTCGCGCAAACGTTTTGAGTAATAAGAAATTCCTGGATCCTACAGTTGTAGTGCTTGGTATCGCTAATGTGAGTTGTATTTGAGGAGTTAAACCAGATCCTTTGGAATAAAAGAAAAAAAAAGGTAAAAGTAAAAAGTTATGAGACCTGTCTGAGACCTCATTAAACGGCTTATGATGCGAAAATAAATTGCGAAAATAAGCCCCTCCAAATATAAGCCCCCCAAAATCGTAACGCAAAAAACCCTCCGTTAAATCGCCCCTCCGAATATAAGCCCCCGGGGGGGCTTGTACTTAGAATTTGCCCTCGAATACAAAGTAAAACAAAGCAAAAATGGTAAATTTCCTTCCCACTACAAGCTAGCCCAATCGATTTCGAAACGCAAATTTCCCTCCGTACATAAGCCCCTTCGAATATAAGCCCCTCCAAAAATAAGCCCCTCAAAAAGGGCCTTTGAAAAATGTAAGCCTCGGGGCTTATTTTCGGAATTTTACGGTACCCTTTTTGAAAACAGCTATGAAATGACGCGTGGAAACGTTCGTTAATGATCAGAACTCCTTCGGCGGCTGTAATAAAATTTATTGACTTTAGGAAATGTCCGCTTTCGAACGCGGTTGTGTAGTGTATTTTCTAGTATGTTAATGTGCAATAGCGATTCATTGCTGCTTTGTCAGACAACCAGTATAGGACAGATGCAACGGTTACATTCATTAGACAGCTTCCTTGCCGCGATACAACTTATCACTTTTCTATCGGCAAAAATTAAAATATAATAATAATAATAATAACACTATGCCTCTTGTTAATATGCTCACTCGATCTTTAATTCTTTACATTGCCAATCCGGGCTCCCCTCCCCGCGGGAGAGCGCCTTTGGCTCATACATATACAGTCGACTCTCTCTTAACGAACACCTGTATAAGATGGACAACCCGCTAAAATAGACCCCTAGAGTTGGTCCCTGCCTTACTTTATTCCTTTATTTGACTCTCAACACCTACTAGCGGTCCAAACCATCTCCACACTAGAGATGACGTCTCTGTTCATGTATTGAGCAGCCATGCATTCGTTATGGAGATATGACCCTGAAGTCTATGTATTTAAATGCAAGCTTTGTAAGCTGCAAGAGGAGGTAAGGGTATCAAAGACACTGAGGATGCGGTTGTTGAGGTCAGAAGTGTATTATACAATGTACAAACGTTTCGTTGCCTCCCAATCATACTTTCTGGTAGTGCAGTAGCGGATCCAGAAATCTTTATCGGAGGCGTCAAGATTTTTCTTAGTAATCATCATTACTACTTTAATTAGTACTTTTTTAAATTACACTCCGTCTTTAAGTAATCGTTTCTACCATTTTGTTCGTTACACGTCGTCATTCCTAGTAAAACGTGGGAATCATCAGGGGTAGTAAATTCAGTTTCAGTGCAAATGATCATTGGGTTTTATAATCAATTCACACTGGTTTAGATGTTCCACCAGACTCCCCCGACCCTCCTCCTTGATCCGTCAATACAGTGTTGTATTTTGTGGTAAAGAAAAATTAAGACACTCAGATTCACTTTACGTATATCATGAGTGAGGCTATGGAGACTGGTTATTGATTTCTCAAAGTTGTTCATGCATGCACCCACCTTCTTTTTGCTTGGCCAATTGAAAAAATCTCAAGGATAAAGCTTCCACTATGGATTCAATTGAAGATGTAGTCATCCCTAAGAGGATAACAAAGCCGGTTTATTTATTTGTTTTAGACTGATTAATGTCTTTGCTTTACCAATGCGGGTAGTAGGTAAGGAAACCAAGGCCATGCATAAAAGCCAGAAATCGCCCCAGATACAGCACTATTATGTGCAGGTATTATAAATGACTTGGCAGGTGTCATACTCTATCTATAAGAACGGTTTCACTGAATCCAGGGGCAAAGTAATACTGTTAGGCACTTAAAATTAGAACCGGGTGATTTCCTGATACATGGGAAGCCCTCTAATATATTGTTGAGGGCTTGCGAAGCTCGCTTGGCTTATGAACGAGAGGACCAAGACTCTGTTTTTTCTCTTTAGACAGAAGTTTATTCTTCAACAGCTTCTGACAGCAACTCCACTACTCAACTAACTCTACTAGCTAACACAGCGAATTAAATAACGAAATTGTGGACGTGTTTGGGTTAGCTGACCATGAGACCCTTCCATTGCATATCCTGTCGCTGAACTTGTGAAAGATAGAATAGTCTACACTGTCGCAATTAACAAGTACTAAAGAGCCAATTGAATGCTAGCGGTAAAACTGCTCGCTAGGACCAATCATACAAAACAGGAACTTCAGTGGAGGCAAAACTCAAGGTCAGCTATAATCCCCGAACATGCTTACTTCAAAGAACTACAACAAGCTTCACAAATTCTTTCGATAGACGATACTTCTCAAAACCCAGGAACTAACCGTGTGGCCTATAAATTGAATTTACTTGGACTATGAACTGTTTATTAAGAAACTAGCACGTGCTACAAAATAATCATTCGGATAGAAAAACCTTAAAAATACCAAAACTCCAAAACAGAACTAACAGCAACTACTTCATAACAATATGACCTAACTTTTGTCTTTGCTCTTTGCATAGAAAATGTGGCTGATATTGATGGTTGCGTTTTGTCTGGGATACTCTAATAGGGTCTTCTGTGTTGCTAGCAGCATTTTACCTGTCCTCTTGCTTTCCAAACTCTCTTCATTGGCGCTTTCCGAAAAAGACGCTAGGAGAAGACTCATGAATAATGAGCTCACACATAGACACGCGCACATGGTTTAGTTGGTCCCAAATTTCTAGTCAGTGACGAAATTAACATCTGCGATTTTTCATTTTCTTTTCAAAATCTTCTCCCGCATATTTTTTCAGTTCCTGAAAATTAAATGAATCCGCAATCAACTTATTTTATATTGCAAGTTTTTAGTAGAAATCTCAAACTTACATAATAATCCAAAAAAACTATTGTCTTAAGCCTGAAGCCCACATTGATTTTTTAAGGCTAAATGAAAACACGGACCACATTTGGTTGAAGATAAAGCAATCAATGAATCGGCTTTAACTAAAAACTTACCTTGTGATACGACACAAACGATTTAAAATCTTTCGCAACAAGAACTTGCCTACCATCTGACCTTCTCATGAGTGACGATTGCCTCGAAGTGATAACGAAATGTAATGTGAATTGTGCGAAAAATCAAGTAACAGAAGTAAGCATTTACTAAAACGTCTGCCGAACATTTCGATTATTGCCTGCTCTGATTCAGGAAATAATCAGTGTTTTGATTTTGCTAATCTAGTGTGGCACTTAGTTTTTATACGACTCACCACGCTTTGCCACAGAATAACAATATGTAAGGAGCTCGAACTCCATAAACATCCCCAACAAAATCACGAGGTGAATCAGGAGAATTTAACTCGTTATATGTCTTTCTGTCTTTCCTGTCCGTTCGTTGAAAACTGATACAAACTGAACCAGCCCGCTCATCACTTTTGAACGCTAGATTTTTCTCAGCCTTATTTATTAATTATCCTAGTATTTATTTTTTTCTGTTTGACCGGACCTCCGAGAAAAAACAATCACTGATGATAGCTGTCCAAAAAAAAAAAAAAAAAAAAAAAATTGAGAATGGTTAGAAAACAATTTATGGTGATAGGAGGCAGCCGCCGATTTATTGGCCAATTTATTTTTTCATGTAGTTGATTTAAAACGTAAAGAAATCAGCGTCTGAATTAAAGATTGAGTTGTCTTACTTTTAGATATTTGGAATCTGTGTTTTATTCTAACCTGCTGGTTTCCCGTCTCCTTACGATAACAGCGGGTATCGGTCCTCGAGAATACTTAAACAATTTGGAAGGGTAAAAGAAACATAATATTTAGATTTAGCCAAAGGCTAAAGGTGAAGCGCCCGTTGTTATATTTATAATTTAATTTAAACAACGAACTTGTAACCATAGGAAAGAAATCCACTTGGAGTTGAGCTTGCCGTCAGTTGAAAAACTAGTAACTCGTTAGCGGATAACTTAAAAAACGCGTCACCTCTTATGGCCATATTATACTGATCAGCGGATACCCGTTTTGAGAGCTGTCAATTGACCACAACATGGATGTGCAATATCAGGTTGTAGGCCCCCACATTAGCAAATTAGCTAGAATGTGTGAGATTTCACATTGGTTGCCCTGTGGTGCCGACGGACGCTCGGACGGACGTACGGTCACGTGACCACCAAAATTCCTCGGATGGATACTGCCTAGTCCCTAGGCCTTATTATTGTCTGCGGCCGATGCGTTTCGGGTTACGTGGTCCGAGCGAGTTTTTGAGGCTTAGACAAACCAGGACAAGTGAGACACTTTGTCTCACTTTGGGCGGGGCTTTAAGATCTAATTTGGGGAGCTGTTAATCACCCCTCCCTGCGTTTTATGGCGAAGAATTTTTAGAATAAGTCTTCCGCTTAGGAGCCTTAAGGTTAGTCATTCCTTATGTTATTTTTAAACACTTCGTTATTACAGAATGCTGATTAAAAGAGACGTTTTGGTAATCCGAATTCCAGCGGGTTAATGCGACGCCTCTACGCGTATGTTGCAAATGAATCCACCCTTAAGTTAAAAGTTCTTATTAATTTTACACATGCAAACAAGGCAAAAAGGGCTAATTAACTCACATAATGTCACCATTTCGAAATGTACTGTATTATTTTATTTCAAAAGTTAATGTGAGCTGTCTAGCTAGTGTTGGTAATCAGTGGCTATACTTTTTGTGGGGCTGTTACTCTGGCTTAGTTATGCCATATAATAACCTTGGTTCAGCCTTAGATTTTGAGTCAGTGTTCACTGCTGCAAGTACCGGTATACATCTTCTCTACACGATCACCCATACACTTTGGCATTGGTGGAGCTATGTCAGGATGAAGGTGAATTCTTCTGAGGTCATCTTATCCTAATTGTAACTGTGGAGCCCACCTTCAATTACCCTTCCTTCTTTCTGTGCCCTCGTTCTTGAAAGAAAAATCTTGCCTTTTGCAGCAACATGTCGTACACTCATGCTCCAGGCACCTCCATGATCCGTTTAGGGTCTGGACGGTAGCTGCATATGGTTGCCTTTAAGCACTCAATAAACTGGCATGGACTACAATGGACCTCATGCCTCACATTGCTTGTTTTCTCATACTAGATAGTTTGCTCACAGGCTAGCGTGGGACTATAGCCGAATCGTGTTGCTCCCAGCAATAAGATTCGGCATAGAGCGTCTTTAAAGATGTTCTTAGAGAGGAGAGGGAGGAGGGGGGGGGAGAGGGGAGGAAGTGATGAGCAGAATCTGGATTCGTGGGCAACTTCAGCACTTGCAGAATAAACATAAAAAGGAAGCCCTTGAAGCCCAACTAATAAAATCGAAAAATAGCTTCGAGGCATAGAACTTGAATTATTTACATGTTCTACATTGTGTTTAACAATGCAAGGGCTAATCTGTTTTTATTAAGACCGCACAAAAACAACCTGCTCTATAGATCCTTAGCCAAATAGACGGACATAAGAGCCTGGCTCGATTCAAACATTTTGGATATTAAACTATTACACTAGCCGTAGTCTGCGAACGCCCGCCGATACAAGATGAATAAATCAAATATTTCCAAAAAAGAACATACAAAACAAACAAAGAAATCGAAGATACTCCCTTTTTGAAGTCGCGTTAAAAGTAAGTCAATTGCTAACGCTTCTTTTACAATAAAGTAGTTGCAGTATAAAAACCAGTAATCTTTCTGACCATACTATAAGCCAAAGGAGGAGGGGGTAAAAGGAAACGCATGCGCACTCCGAGATTGTCTAGGCCTCTACCGGCCGTTCGTCTCGGATACTTCACCGAAATAAATTGACCCGAGAAGGCCTGGGAATACACCGTACCAGGACTAGGCAAGCCAGAATCAAGAAATCGCCATCTGAGGACTTGGACCATCACCCAATGCCTCTCACGAGTACGTCACAGAAGGAACCCCTCCAAGCAAAATTGCTGGCTACGCCCTTGCGAGACAAAGGAGCGACAGTATACCGCAGGAAAGATAATACAGCGCTTATTTAGCATTGTTCCTTGTGCATATTTTGTACTATCACACCGTAACAGATGAAACAAACAATAAATTTAGTATATTTACAACAAAATTACAAACGGTTCACGTAAACAGTCCCCGTCTTATTCAATTCAAATATTTATCCTTTTGTGATTTTGATTCTAAATTCCTCGGCTAATGTTTAGTAATTATAACCAGCTGTATAACCAGCTTTGACATTGACAGAGCTGGAGAAAATGACGGAGGATTTTATACCGCCACTCAACGGGCGTCAAATCCAATTTGAAACGAGAATCTGCAAGAATAAACATGTTTTTATACTGTGAAACTGCCAACAGACAAATGTTATGAAGACGGCAACTGTACATAGATCGAGATCAGCTTGCTTTTTAGTTCGAAATATCGACTCGGGAATGAATAGTAAAATAACCATTAAAATACATTATAAATGGATTAGCCTGGGCGACTATATTGTGTGGACATTACTTAACACCTTGCTTGAGCGAAAAGGCATTTGAATGCGTTTTAATCAAACATTCTTCAGCTGGTGATTATTACAAAAAATCGGAATCGACGGTTTCCTCGTTTTCATTGTATTAATGGTTTACTCGCGCTTAACTAAATATCCGATATTGTTATATAGCTGAAAAATTTTTCCCAACAGCTCGCGCTCTCATTGGTTACTTCGAGGTAACATGACACCTAACAATGACGCTGCTGGTTTACGGCCAAAATCTATGAGCGAATCCATGACGTCAAAGGGTAACAGTGCAAAGTTTCCCGCGAATGTTGATCGACGACCGTCGTTACAACGAGGTTTAATGAATTTTCCGCTTGAAATTTCCAGCTTTATAACAAATCACTTAAAGACTGGTCCCTCGGGGAACAGTTAATTTTGTTTCTCTCGACTCCGCCTCGAGAAACGTTAAGATTCTGGGTAAACAAAATTAACTGTTTCCCTCGTTCAATGCACATGTTAATAAAATATGCAAAAAGCTCGCCTCACGAATTGCGGTGCTGCGAAAAATAAGAGCCTTCCTACCGCTTAGTCAGCGTGTTAAATGCATGTGATCCGTCCCTTTATGAGCTATGCTAGCGTCATCTGGACTTCATGCGACAAGGAGCAGCTCTATCGCGTCCTTAAATTGCAAAAGCGCGTGGCAAGAGTCATTCTTTATGCGGATCGCCAGGCGTCTTCTGTTGCTCTCTTTAACAAGCTCTCTTGAATCCCGTTTTATGAACAACCAATGACTGATAAGTGCTCTATTAGTTATAAGCGTATTAATGGGACTTTACCTAGTTACTTAATGCTACTACGACGAAAATTTTTGCTTTTGTTTCCGAGTTTTTTTAACATAAATCTTTTGTATATGTTCAAAATTATACAAATAGCGAAAAATTGGAACGATACTTGCGTACGGGGGCTGGAAATTTCCCACTGAAAAGTGCGTAAATACCGTCCGCCATTACAAAGTTTGCAAAGCAATAGCCCGCGAGATCTGCGCAAAGCGGTCGTGCGTTTGACCACGTGATTTTTGCACTGTGACGTAGAAACATCAACCAAAAGATTCGCATTTGGGAAAAGTATGTGACTTTTAATAGAGCCTTTTAACAAGACGTTCAAGAAGTCATCTCCGTCGGATTCCTCTTCCTGTACATCTGAAAGTGATCTAGAAAGTTTTACAGTTGACGAAGTGATTGGGGAATTGTCTGAATTTGCGCCGTACGACGACAGTTGCGAACCCCTTGCTACCGAGGAAGAAGCCGCGGACTACAACGAAAGAGTTCATCGCGAAGAAGAAGAGGAACAACAGTTTCAACGAAGATATTCGGGAGAGGTGCCAGCGAATGAATGGTATGGTATTATCATGGAATGTAGATTTATATTTTTATTTTCCAATTTCAAAATGCCCGTCGTTAAATCGTGCGCGTGACGAACGCGACTATGTGTTTTGTTTAAGTTTACAATTTCGTTGCTATGTGATTAGCTGTAGTCCTGATTTTATGCGTTAGTTTTATTTAAGAGGTCAGACAATTAATAATTTTATACAGACGTATTTTCTTGTGTTTGACGAATTTTTCACATTATTTTGCAGGTGTTCGTGCTCGAACTGCTCTGTCAGCCTTGTTACAAAAGCGCAGGACTGCATTTGCTGCAAAGAGATCGATCGAAGAGGTCATGGAAGAAGCCATTGGAGACCGGACCGTATGCATAACCCTCCATCCAGGGTTTGAAAGCGTCTGCTTAAACCGCCACGTATTAGAAGTGGCTGCACTGGGCCTAAAAACGCGAGCTGGAAAGTCGTACACAACTGTTCGTGGGCAAAGCAACAAAAGTGATGATGAGTAAGTTGGGGTATTGTTGACTTTGTATCGGAACGATCGAACCTTACATAGCATTGAATAATTGATACATCTAAGCTTATCGCCGTGGACTGATCTCATAGAATCAAATTTTTTATTTTATAAATGGCTTTATCGCCCCAACTGCTTATTTTTAAAAGGATTATTTATTTATCTCCATCCATATCCCTCCTTGAATTAACAGTGATCTCATTTCTCTAACTAGATTCCTGAGGTCTGTGGCCTATCGCCAATTTACAAGACTACTGTGGAGTTATATTGGTAGTTCAAAGCGATACCCCTTGCCCTGTTGTGCCTACAATGAAATCAGGAAACAATTTCCGAGTCAAAATGGCCATTATCGTGGATTCGAAGATGAAGAAAATGAATAATAAATGCACTGTTTGTTCTTGAAGAGTGTCATGTATGCCTTGGGGGCCAAGAAGGACCTACAATAGTTGCTTGAATACTTGTCCGTAAGCACTTAATTTTATGGGCCAAACTTCAGAATTCTCAGCCACTTACTCGCTTTTTGTTGAATGACAAACTTGCCCACTGTGTGAAGCCCTGTTCTGCTAGCGTTCAGTTAAACTCAAGTTTAGTTGCTGGGAATCCTGATGTTGCTCCAATTTTCATGTACACAAGTAATAAAAATTAAATCGAATTCAGCCTGAATTTAATTACCGTTTTAATGTATCGTTTCTTTCTTTTCACTCGGCTCACAGAGCACCGCAAAACTTAATAGCAGGTTACCCGCTGGAAACTTTCCTAGCAGGTCTGGTTGACTCTTCCAGACTTTTGTCTGGCTACAGTTTCTGCAGAAACTTTCTACGGTAAACAAGGTACCTGTCTGTGATACAGAAAGTTTGGGTTTTGAAAAGAAGCACAAGTGGCAGAACTGAAACAAAAGAAGAAGTTTGGAAAGGAAAACAATTCCCTTCGGTTCCTCTCGAATGTTTTTTCCTTGTAGATCCAACCTGTAAAAAATGATTGAAAGGAAATACTCATTTAATCATAGCATCTGAAATAATAAAATAACACAAAAAAAAGATGATCATTTTTATTGTTTTTCTCAGGGTGTTGCCAGTTTTTCAACTTGTTGTAAACCTGGCTAATTGTAGGTTGGGATTTTACTCTCACATACATCCTGAAAAATGCTTTTTCATAATAATTCTGTTGATTGCACACATGACAACTTTGAGCCCTTAAGCTATCTAGCCCACCCCAACGATGCATAATTTATTACAAGTGGTTGAGTGGACAAACCAAACATTTTTAGGTCTGGGACTTCCAGTCTATGGGCTGGCTATGCCTCTTCTTCTTTTTTTTTTTTTGCAATTCTTATCTGAGTAAATTAAAAAACAAATTTCATGTACTCTTGTTTCTAAGTAGATCCTCTCATACTGGAAGTTAGTTTTAGGCCTAAATCACTTCCCAGAGGATACTTAGAGCTAAGATGTTAAAATGCAATAAATTTTGCATCTTCGTACCTTGGGTTCTGATGAGTCTTCACCGAGTCATCATCTTCCTTTAGTTTTTTATATGCATCTTCGATTTCTTCAGGACTCCATGTAGGGTCTTCATCACATTCAAACTCCTCATATGTGCCGTCCTGCATTTCCTGCTCATCTTCTGATTCATCCTCTAGCCCTAACTCTGTCTCATTTGTTACTGGCTCTGGATCAGTTTGAATAGCTTAAACAAATGGAATTAAAAAATTCTATCACCATTAAAATTTTAATTATTATTAAATAATCAAATATTGATAAAATATAATGAAAATATAAAGATAGGCAGTTATGCCTATATGACTCATCAACATCAATTATTGTTGACTCACCAGCATTCACCATCAGCAACTGCTTCGGCTCTTGTATGCTCTTAAAGGTTTCAACCCACTGATCTTGATTGGAGATTAATTTACTCTTCAGTCTTGTGACTTTCCCCTTAACTGAGTCACCTCACTCCTCGGGGTTTTGTATGTTGTGCAATTTCCAGCATGTCCAGTCGTTGAAGGCATTTTACAAACGGTTCAGAGATGCGAGCAGCTAATTTGGACAGCTGAGGGCCGAGACAAACTGCCATAAACCCAAATAAATTTACAACAACAGTTTATTCGAAAAAGGATCATAATTTGGTGTCGTTATTGCGCGCCTATATGTACAGAATCTACGTCATTTTGTGAGCATAATTTCGGAAATCAGGTGCATAATCTAGGAATAATTCTGGCATAATTTTGGCATAATTTGGCAAAATTTCGAGCACTGCTAGTAGCATAATATGCCACTTTTAGGAGCACAATCCGCCAAGGCGTAGCATATTTGACTCAATTCTCGATACCAGCTCTCCTCAACCCTATGATAAACAAGATGGCGGACGAAGCGTCCACTTTTTTTAATTTCCGAGGTGGTTACTTTCAAGAGCTTCGACTGTAATTTTACCCATATATATCGTCGATAAGTTTCGTTACTGTAATCTGCTTCTGCTGTAACATAAACCATTTTACGTTTTTTCGAAGTTTTAATGAAGGCAAGTAAGCGAATATCTATAGACTGGAAAGAGCGCCTTCAAATAGATAAACTATCCTAAGTTTTATAAAGGCAAAACGCGTACGTCCTAAGCGAGTGATGACATTACGAAGTCGCTTTAATTAAAACTTTACAGTCGTTTGTATGTTGGGACGCGGGCACGAACCTGCCCCCCATCACACAAACGTCCATAAAATTTCGCAACTTTGGGGAGCTCTATTTTCCTTGTTTTGCAACAAATCAATCTTAAACTTGATCAAGGCGTGCTTTTCACGGGCTTTGACAGATTTTTGCAAACAAAATGAAAGAAACCTTGGAAGGATTTATTAGTCACTTACTTGTTACTGAGTAGCATTTTAGACCTGACTGAAAACCTGGTGAAACGAAAATTTAGTCTTAAAATGTCGAAAGATGCACTTTTCAAATTGAAATGCTTTCAGAGCAAAACACAAAAATCGAGGAAATTGTTTGTTGAAGAGTTAATCCTGATTATACACGCTTGTTCCTGTTTCTCTTGGAAACCTTTTTCTGCTTTCTTTTTGTCTGTGATTTTCCTTACGGTGCTGACTACCGAAAACAGCTACTTATTAAAAAAATAAATAAATGAATAAATAATTAGAGGAAATCAAATGAAAATAGTCCCGCGACATAAATCAGTTTATATAGTTTCCTACTTAGCTAGTTGGAAGTCAAAAATTTTTAACCACAGATGAATATTAGTGAAATATTACTTAATACACAATTGACGCGTAAAGAAAATGTTCTGCTTTCTAAATTTTGACGTTTTCATTCAGGTGGGTTTTTCTTTACTAAAAGAAAAAGAAAAAGAGCCCAGCTGTTTTTACCTAAACGTTCTCTTAAAAAAGCTAAAAAAATCTAAGATATTCATCGCGATATAAAACAGCGAGCTTTAATTTCAAGAAGAATGGTTTGTGCTCTAAAAAGAGTCAAAATGAAGTATACACACCGCACAATTGAAGCCATCTGAGTTTTAATGTTGTTTTCCCACGTTTTGAGATTTTTCCGACTTTTCCTTTTAAGTATGTTCTTATTCTTAAACTTAAGAAAAAAATGAAAGAAAAAGTGAGAAGAAGGAGACAAAGCCCAGCTGTGGACACTTGAAACTTTCTTCTCGTCATGCAACACTGACTTAAGGAGGCGCGCACCCATTTTTTGAGGTCTCACCCCTTCATGTTTGATGCTTCATAACTTTGCCTGTAGTGCTTGTTAGGAAAAGCCACAAATTGAAACAACATATATAACATTGAACTTAATTTTAGGGTATGTTTTGTTTACATCGTCGATTCCATAGCAAGAGAATAACGACGACATGATTTCTATACAAACTGTAAAATCAAATCCTCTAAAATCCTCTAGAGTGCTATTAGCTTAGACCGATAATTGTCATTACCATGGCAACATTTGAAAAAAATCTGTGCGAGCGTTTTTGAAAAATTATGTTCCAAAACTTTTTGCATCCCCAGACACGTCTTTTTCACTTTTTGTTCAGTTTTAGTCATCAAAAATGATGTTTTACAGGGCCCATACAATCCAAATTTAAATACCTAGCTCAAGGTGCGGTTCAATTGTTTCAATGATAAAAATTGGCAAGCAATCGCTCTTTGCGATCGCACGTTTTGCTATTCTTACTCATAAGAAATATTTGCTCATGTAATCGCAAAAAGGTGTCATCGTTGGCTTTAAAGCTGCAGTTTAAAATTACTCGATAATTTTTTCTAAACGGTTCTTCCACAGTTTAATCATTAATTGCTAGGCACTTGAGTGAAATTTCAAAGCCATTGAAATTTCCAAGTTACTGAAATAACATCGAATTGCCCCTGGCTTAGTAAAGGCGATTGTTTACTATTTTACTCGCTTAGGGTTATGTCTCCCGCTTGCTAGTTTCCGCTTATTTACATGCAGCGCTCACTGCTTCTTTAACACACGAGTGATCACACGAGTCTCGTTTCAACACTTCGTTTGATTCAGTTATTCAAATAACGCAACCTTCTTATCGGAGTGAAACATAGTTAACCAAAAATTGTCGAAAAAGAAAAACGATTCGCGAAATTGATTCCGCAGCAGCAGGTTCATTACGGAGGTTAGTTGTTTACAGGTGTCAAAAAGGAACCTGAAGTTCGTTGACCAGGCCTGAGCCTGGTTTAGTAGCCTTTGACTTAAAAAGAAAATATGATAAAATCTACTCGTATCCGTTTTAGCAATCCTCTAGAGGCATTTTAGATACGTCGTAATATTGTTATGCCTGTGTCTTGTTTAAAATAAACACTGGAGCGCTGAGGAACTAGGAATTCAAAGTGCCTTTCTTTTACTTCTTTTTTTTCTTGTCAGTGGTTCGGAGAGTTTGACTGATTCGCCTACTGATGCAAAAATTTGCTTTATTCAACCGAATTTATAAGAAAAATTGGCCATCATTGGGGCTTAAACTGAGAAACCGTATACTTAGACAATGCCAACCCTTGGGGCTGGGAAACCGAGAAAGGGATTCTCTCTGACGAAGTGCTAGGGCTCGAAATGTCAGCTTCGCAGTACTGAGAGGGTCTCATGGGGTCGTAGCTTTGACGGTTGACGGTTATTATTTTTCAATTTTGACGATTGACGGTTATTATTTTTCAATTTTGACGATTGACGGTTAAATTTTAAAGCTTTTGACTGTTGACGGTTATTTAGAAGAAAATTAGTCCAAGAGTTGAAGAAAATATAAATTTCGGTTCTCTTAATTAGCATTGACTGTTGTGTTTTTGAGGTTGTCTAGCCTTTCCCTAATGAAATTTTGAAATATTTTCAGATATAAGCAAGTTGTAAGGACTTGTAATGTCCAGAGAGAGTGTTTTTGAGAACAAGGGAACTGGTTTTTTCTGCTAGCCCGATTGTGGCTCCTGTTTGTGGGTATTTTGTTGCGTCGTTATTGTCAAGGGTTGATTAAAGCGTCTCAAAAAATTCAAAAACAGAACTTTCGAAATTCAGACGCGGTACTTTCGAAAATTCTCGCATAGAAATCAACCAAACTTGGCCAAGTGCTACCCGGCATAATTTACAGTATTGATACTTTTAAGCGATTTTTTCTAAAGAGCTCGTGTCTTCGATCTCGGCATTTAACAAATAGCAAAAGTTTCCCATGGCAACGTCATGTTGCTATAGGAAAGTTCCGATATTCAAAAACCTAACTGCATTTCAAACGACAATCTATTGCTATAGGTTGCTGGTAACATTGATATTTCGAGAAAATCATGTCTGGGTGTATTTCTTCAAGGTTAAAATTCGGTAATGAACCTTTGAAAAACCCCATCGAGCCACCGTAAAACAACCTAGTTATCCTAAAATAGGTGAACGTATTTTTTTTGAAACATTTCTTTCCTCTCTCAAAATATTGAAATATACACATCTTAATGTAGAATGTGTTTAAGTTTCTCGTCTGCGTTATCATATTTTATGCCGTTTGGAGCTACATCTTCGCCAGTTTGCAACACGGCAACTTAACTGATTTTAAGACTTTCTTTCTTTCGTGCGGCGTTGACTGGTTAATTTTCGCAAACTGTTCACAGTCTAAAAATGAGAAAAAAAAACACCTTGGAGGAATCAATTATTCACTTACTTGTTACTGAGTAGCATTTTAGAGGATCTGATAACCTGGTGAAACGAGGATTTTGTCTTCAAATATCGAAAGATGTAACTTGGAGAAGGAAACATACAAAAGTGACAGCAAACGTGCAAGCGCATTAGATAATGTTTTCAGAGTGAAAGACAAAAAATCGAAAAATTTTTTAGTTGAAGAGTTAATCCCATTGAGTACAGTTTTAAACATGTTTGTTTCCGTATCCCCAGGAAACCTTTTTCTAATTTGTTTTTGTCTGTGATTTTCCTGACGGTACTAATTACCGAAAAGACTAAATAACTATTTAAAGATGATGATAACAATAATAATAATAATAATAATAATAATAATAATGATAATGATAATAAAGAAAAGAAAAAAATAAAGACTGAAAAATGTCGCGACTTAACTTCAGTTTTCCAGTTTCAAATTTCTAAAATGTAACTAATGATAAATGTTGGAAAAATATTATACAACATTGACGATCAAAGAAAATGTTCTGTTCCATAGTTTTATGTATTTATTCGTGTGTTTCCTTTCTAAAGTAAAATAATTATAACTACTGAAGCCGGGAAAGTCAGCCCAGCTGTTTTCACTTTAAAAGTTCTCTTCTATTGTCAGTAGTCACAAAACCTACATAATCTTAGATTTTCATTGCATAAAGAAAATGTCTTGCTTTCCAAAGCTTAAGGCAGGGGGCCCCTTAGCTACGAATAAATTCATAAGGAAAAGTTTTCTGCTAAATCTTTTAAAACGCTTATACCTCGGCTGTTTTAGAGGCGATTTATAGATAAAATTTTTCAGAGACATTATGGAATTAATGGAAGTTTTGGAGGGTTGTTTTTTAGTTGGTAGATGGCGTTTTACCAGTGTGTTTTACGGCAATGCTTTAAGCCACAGTCAGTGCAACCAAGTTGGGAAATCGTGATTTTGTGTTCAATATTGAGAGTTTGAGGAAAGAATGAACAGCGGCTCTCAACGATGGTTTCCTCTTAAATAGCTTGACACTTATTAGGCTATCCAGAGTACTTTTAGACCTTTAGAAATGCATTCTAAGCGGCGCTATAAACTTTGTATCTGTTCGGTCATCCTAGCTAGGAGAACTTGAGTCTTTCTTCAAAAAATCGTGGGGAATTTATAAGATAAGCCTCGAAAATTGTACATGAACGGAACCAAATCTCGGCGGCCAAAATGGTCATTATTAGGAAAACCAATTGCGTTATCCAGTGGATAGAGATTTATCCGATGAATAGCATTGCCCACAGCTACAATCAGGGACAACACGTTGTAGTTTTGAACAATATGGGCCTGGACTCGATGTTGCTGCGTCAGTGGAAAAAGATATACCCGGATTTAGCGTCCACACGATTTCGGATTCATAGCGTATTCAAGAGTTTCCACTCTGCAGAGCGGATTAAAAAAAATGTGGATTCGTCTGCTGGATTCACCGGATACGTGTGGACGGAGGCCGAATCCGCAAAGAAAAGGTGGTGGGATTTAATAATATCCGGATAGGTGTGGACGCGGCCTGAAACAAGGTTTACTACCATTGATTCAATTTTGAATAAACATTCCGCTCGCACTCTTCGTGCATTTGAACACTGAGGGCCTGTTTACATGGAGATGGGGACTCCAGGTAGGGGAGGTAACCCGCAGGTGGAGTAACCTGCCCAGCTGTCCATATAGTTTCTCATTTTAATTTGATCACGTTTACATGATGGGTGGGGTGACCCGCCACATGTTACCTCACCTACCTAGGATCCCTGACCTCCATGTAAACAGGCCCTAACTTGTGCGCATACATGTCGTCCTCGTTCGCGCTCATCTTTTATCTCGCGACCCAACTTTCCTGTATGCCTGTTGTCATCTCTCGAATAAATCGTTTACCTCGCGCCCTTTAATTCTGTGTGTGCGTGCGGTATCGTTTCGTGCCATTAGGTTTCTTCAGAAAAAAAAGAATATTTAGTCCGACATCAGTCGACATCAGCTCAACCAATTAATTACTGAAAATCACAATAATAAAAAACATTCTATTGCGTATTGCAACCCGTTGGAATGTATGATTTGTGCACTCGCATTTTCTATAAATACGTAGATTACCGTCTATTGCCCATTGTTTTGCATTGTTGATGAGAGAGTTAATGAGATTGCTTTCTTACTCTTCCCTGAAGTCTTAGATTCCCTTCATGGAGCGCTATAACAAGATTAAATCTATAGGTTCAGGTACTTTTGGCCAAGCTTGGTTGGTAGAATCGGTCACTAGCCAGAGAAGGTATGCATTAAAGGAACTTGGTGTCACCGCTATGTCAGAACAAGACCGCCCTCTTGCGTTGAACGAGGCCAAGATTTTGTCGAAGCTAAAACACAAAAATATTGTGCGCTACAAAGAGGCGTTTGTAGCTCAAGGAAAGCTATGTATTGCTATGGAATTTGCTGAAAATGGTAAGTGTAAGACTGGTTTGAATTCGGTAGAAATAGCATATCTATAGTAGAATACACTGCAATCAGTTAGAATTCAGACTTTTATACGAAATTAAGTAAATACCTCTTATTGTGGAAAGAGATCAAGTGATGAAGAATAAGAATGACTAAAAATATACTCAGCTAATGCGAACTACCGCTATTCTGATCCATAAAATTTCCTCATATCCAGCATAACAATGTATGCAGTTTTTGGTAGAATTCCTGAATGTGGTAGATATTTAACCGGAAAACGCATACATGATAAGTGGAAGTGTTGTGCTAAAATCTTGCCCTGGTTTTGAAAATTTTAATTTGTCTACAACAGGAGATCTATACACGAGAATCAGGGAGAGAAATGGACTATACTTCTCAGAAATGGTGAGTTAGAGAATGTAGCAAGAAATTTTACCGACTTCGGAGCTTATACGAGAACATTTCAATAGTCACACCATTATGTGAATGAATGAATGAATATATGAATGTATTGTTCTTATTTGTCACTGTTTCTTTTCTTTTTTTTCTTTTAACAATTGTAGCAAATTTTAGGATGGTTTACACAACTTTGCCTTGCCCTGAAGTACCTTCATGGACAAAATATTCTTCACAGAGGTTAGTGCTAATTTCGTTAGTTAAAGTTTTGTTTTAATCATGTTTGCCATTTCAATCGCTTTTAAGACCAACATTTTCTCAAATATTAAAACTTAAAAATAATGATTTCTATTTCAGACCTGAAAACTCAGAACATTTTTCTCGGTAAAGATGACATCATTAAGCTCGGAGATTTTGGCATTGCCCGGATGTTGAATAATACTTTAGATCATGCGCAGACGACTGTGGGAACGCCATATTACCTGTCACCAGAGATATGTCAACGAAAGCCGTATCCTTCCGTGAAATAATTTAAACTACCATATTTCAACCATTCTTAGCGGGACTAGGCCGAGTTTATCATCACTGTACTTGTTGCTCTCTAGTTTAAAAATAGCAGGACCATATACACAGTAATGAGTTGAGTACAAAACTAATTTCAGAGAGCTGCGTAGCTGACGGGATTAGCGGGCGAGTGCTGTAGTCCGCGTAAAGATTGGGTTCAAGTCAAACTGAAATCCCCTCTCGGCTTCGGGCTCGCGAAAATAGGGACTTTAAGATCCATCGACGAGCGCATGTCATAAAACATGGACTGGACTGGATTAGTAAAACATGGACTGGATTAATAAAACATGGAGTGATATAACAAGGATTTATGACCAAGTAAGAGAAGGGTTTTTTCCTAGGTTTCATAGGATCTGAATATGACAAACATGACTTAGGTACAGTGTCACCAAGCCAAAAAAGTACGACATAAGCCAATAACACAGTAAACAAGCTATTAGACAGGGGAAGTTGAGGAAAATTACAAAATGTTTGCTAACACGGTTTTCATAACTCCAGGTAGATTTATGTTGACTGTATTTTATTTTATTCGTCCATATCTCTCCATGTTTTATCAATCCACGTTTTATCACTCCATGTTTTATCAATCCACGTTTTATTAATCAATGCTTTATCACTCCATGTTTTATTAATCCATGTTTTATCACTGCATGTTTTGTTAATCCGGTCCATGTTTTACCAATGCACTCCAGTCCATATTTTATCACATGCCATCGACGAGGACGGCAACGAGAACGTCAAAAAACAGCAGGTGTTATAAGCAAAACAACAACTTCATTTTGCACGTGCATTGCGCTTGTTTGTACATTTCTTTGCCTGTTTTTGCTCGACTACAACGTGAAAATGGTTAATTTCGCGTTTTACGGAGTACGTAAACAAGCAACGACTAAATTATATTTCTCTTTCTGAACTTAGATTTGGTCCTAGGAATTTAACTCCAGGAGGGTTCGCCTCCCAGGGCCTAACGTATTTGGTTGTCGCTTGCTTTTAACGTCATGAAAATTGTATTTATTACCTTTTTACATTTACAAAGGAGGTAGTATTTGATGAGTCCTTAACAGCTTGTCAGCTACAATCACAAGAGTGACATGTGGTCACTGGGATGCGTGTTGTATGAAATGGCTACACTAAAACACGCTTTTAATGCAAACAACTTCTCTGCCCTTGTCATAAAGATCTTACAAGAGCAGTACCCCCCAGTACCTAGGTAAGTTCAAGAAATATTGTAGTGCGTATTTAATATTCGATAGCCTGTAGAATCATGAAACTGCCGGATAAATATTCTCAAAGTACTGTTTATTTTGAGATGGACAATCTTTAGAAAGCGACTTCCAAGTGCCGATGTCAATAAACAGATTCAGGGAGCAAAGGTAGCAGTACTGATTTACTGTCGAATCAAGCCAATGAAACGTTTCAACGATCGATTTAACTCTTGGTATTTTTTTTTTCAGTTTTTATGGACCACTTGTGGAGGACTTAGTTTGGGTCCTACTGCAAAAGAACCCAGATGATAGGCCCTCAGCGAAGCAGCTCCTTTACGTACCTTCGATGCAACCTTATGTGAAAAGGTTCCTCGTGAGTGAACGAGAGAGGACCGAAAGTCTCGCTTCGGACATAGCTGATGTCTCCTCTACATCATCAAGGTATGACTGCTCTCAAATGTCGGGTGCTGAAAAAGAGGAGAACATACAGAACGCCAGTAGAATGGTCGTCCCTGTTGCTGACAAATCCAGCCCTTCAAAAGATGCTGGAGGAAGCGTTTCTAAAGATGTTAATTCTCGCCAACGAAGAACATTGCTTGACTACGCAACAAAACCTCAGACCAAAGTAACCGTAATGTACGAGAAACAAGCTGTGAAGGAAAATCCACGGGAAATCCAAGGACATTTTCAGGCATATAACAGTACACCAAACGAGCGGGAAAATTTAACCACCCAAAGGGATATTCCAAAAAAGGGGGAGGCTAGCTGCTCGTTTCAGCATGATCACACATCAAAACCGCGGGAAAACTGTCCCCGTTCATCTGATAACATTGTTAAAGCAGGAGAGAATTTGCGCGCCAGATGTTCCCATGGCACAAGGAAGCAAAGCCTTATTGCACTGGCACAAGCACAGAGGCGCAGGTATTCGGAACAGACTTCGACTTGCTCAGAGCCTGGAGCCAGAGTTCACAAATCCCGGATTCATTCTCAAGGTTGTCGTGAATTTGTAGATGCTGAGGATGAAGTTTTTACCAAGAATCAGGCAACAGTTATTCCTGTTAGAACTGCAAGAAACAGAAATGTGGGGATAATACGGACACAAGTGATTGATAAATACGTTTCTTCATCTTGTAAAAGTAATGTTACTACCAATCCCGAGCAAAAAAAGCGAAAGCCAGTGTTTTCAGTGAGTCAACCAAAACGCTCTGAGGATGCACACAAAAGTAAGCGTCATCATTCAGCTGTGAGCGACAGGAGCCTCCATCCAGTTGAACAGAAACATCAATGGTATCAATATCGACTTGATCATAGTGTTCAAGATAAGGAGAACGTGAGTCAGGTTAGCTGGTTTCGACTAGTTAGCTGCAACAGGCCATTTGTATGGTTTGATAAGGCTATTTTACTACTACTACTACTACTACTACTACTACTACTACTACTACTACTACTACTACTACTACTACTACTACTACTACTACTACTGCTACTGCTACTGCTACTGCTACTGCTACTGCTACTGCTACTGCTACTGCTACTGCTAATCCATAGGGAACTAAATTCTTTAGAACACGAAAAGGAACAGTTTAACCATCTCGATTATGAGATAACTGAGAGGGAAATACGTCAAGCGGCGAAGAAATTGAAAAATAAGAAATCACCATTTGTTGACAAAATACGAAATGAAATGATCAAAGCAAGCCTCGAACCACTAATGCCTGTCTATGTCAAACTTTTTAACCTCATTTTACAATCCGGAAAAATGCCAGATGTTTGGTGTCAAGGCCTCATAACCCCAATTTACAAATCTGGTGACAAGAGTGATCCAACTAATTACAGAGGCATATGTGTTTCTAGTTGCCTTGGAAAATTGTTCTGTTCTATTTTAAATCGAAGACTTCACTTGTATTTTGAGGAAAATAAGATATTACATAATTCCCAAATTGGCTTTTTGCCTGAAAACCGCACTGCAGACCATGTTTTCACTCTAAGGACCCTAATAGATAAATATGTGCATTATCACAAGGAAAAAGTCTACGCTTGTTTCGTAGATTTCCGCAAAGCGTTTGACTCTGTTTGGCACGAAGGATTGTTTTATAAGCTGGTAAAAACGAATATAGGAGGAAACTTGTACAACCTCATGAAAAGTCTTTATTGCAACTCGACATGTTCCATCAAAATCGGTGAAAACAAAACACAGCCTTTTTCATCTGACCCATTTGTTCTCCCAAATGGGAGAAAAATAAATTCACTTTTCTACGCAGATGATTTAGTTATTCTATCAAGATCGAAAACTGGATTACAGAACTGTTTAAATGCGCTTTCTTTGTATTGTGACAAACGGAAGCTAAAAATTAATCCGAAGAAAACAAAAATTATGATATTCCAGAAACGCCCAAAAAAATCTATTGACATCAAATTCAACATAGGCAGTGAGTCAATTGAAATTGTCCAAGAATACACTTATTTAGGTACACGTTTAACTCCAACGGGAAACTTTACACTTGCACTCGAACACTTAAAAGAAAAGGCCCTTCACGCGTTTTCTAGTATTCCGAAGCGGACAATTCTTAACAAACTTAATCCTAATACTGCATCCCAAATTTTTGACACCATGGTATTCCCAATCTTGAGTTACAACAGCGAGGTATGGGGAATGTATACCAAGCAAGATTTTAAAAAATGGGATAGCTACCCAATAGAAAAAATCCACCTCAAATTCTGTAAACGTTACTTAGAGGTTAACAATAAGGCCTCTAACATAGCCTGCAGAGCTGAACTTGATAGACTGCCGCTGCTTATCCCGATAAATCAGAAAATTATGAAATATTTTGTTTTCCTCAACAACAAAGATAATGACTCTATAGTCAAACAGTCTTTCCTTATGTCAAAGAATCTACATTCTATGAATAATTCCGGATATTTTTCCAATTTCATAAACATGCTTGAACAATACAATCTAACCAGTTTAGATGCTGAATCTCTAGATAATGATAAAATTAGACGATATACCACAGAAATGAGAGAGAAATATCTATCTTTTTGGCGGCACAGCCTCGAAAATTCAAAAAAAAAACTAGAATTTTATAAAAATTTTAAAGATGAATATTCTACATCTGATTATCTCTACCAGCTAAGACATTATGACGAACGACAGAATTTTGTTAAATTTAAAATAAGTAATCACAAACTTATGATTGAACATGGTCGATACCAAATCGATCATTTGCCAAGAGAAAATAGATTATGTCCTTTATGTAACTCAAATCAGGTAGAAGATGAGATTCATTTCCTCTTTCAATGTAACAAATACTCAGTACAGAGACAGGCATTTATTAATCAAATCAATCGAATAATACCTGACTTTGACAAGAAATCATCTCCAGAAAGCATAAAACTGATAATGAATTCGAAGGAACATCATGTAAATAAGTTAGTTATGAAGTTTGTTTCCTCCTGCATGAAAATACGTGATTCATTGTTAGTAATGTAACCGAATTTTTCTAGATTATTATTAGCGCTGTTTTGTTTTATATTTTGATTGTCATATACATGCTTTTGCAATACTGTAAAATGATGCGGTCATGCAAATAAAGCAATTTATTACTATTACTATTACTATTGCTACTACTACTACTACTACTACTACTACTACTACTACTACTACTACTACTACTACTACTACTACTACTACTACTACTACTACTACTACTACTACTACTACTACTACTACTACTACTACTACTACTACTACTACTACTACTACTACTACTACTACTACTACTACTACTACTACTACTACTACTACTACTACTACTACTACTACTACTACTACTACTACTACTACTACTACTACTACTACTACTACTACTACTACTACTGCTGCTGCTGCTGCTGCTGCTGCTGCTACTACTACTACTTTTTAATATACACCCAAAGCAGCCTCGTCTTTTTAAAAACACTTCAGTGTTACGAAGAAAACTAAATGTAGATTAAACTCCCACGCAGGCGTTTTTAGGCTGATTTCGTCCCTCCATGTAAACGGCGTCTGTGGGGAGAGACGAAATACGAACTCCCCTAAAAACGCCTGCGTGGGAGGCTAAATGTAGAGTGCTTTCAAATATTTTATACCATAAGCAATGATGATGATGTTGTTGATGATGATGTTGTTGATGATGATGATGATGGTGATGATGATGATGATGATGATGTTTAGTGTTATTACTGTTATAAACAAGACGTGCTTTGGGATGACCGTCGAAAAAAATTTTGTGGCAGTGAATCTGGTTTTCAGTTAGCTCTTATTGAGGATCGTATTTAGAGAGGGAAGGGTTAGTTACGATTAAAACGTGTAGAAAGTTTTTTTTTAGTTGAAAACATAAGAAAAGGAGGTTTGATTTTTACTGCGATTAGGCCTTTATTTTCTTCACGGATAGTAAAGGTAGCCGCAACTACGCAGGGGCCGTGAAAATTACCTCCTTTCTTTGTTCTGGCTTCGTGTTTCTTTCCTCGCGTGCGCCGATATCTCATGCGCTGTCGCATTCTTCTCCATCCACTCTCTCTCCGAGGAAATTATGGACTACCTGTCAAAAACTCTCTCAAATTTTAGTTTATTTATCATTATTCTTTTGTCTATGTTCTTTTTATGATTCCAGGAAAACTCTTTGAGTTCGCATGTTCAAGAGAAACGTCCTATCTCTTCTAAGGTATTTAAAGAGATTCAAGCCTCTTATGGGAAACAGCAAATGGCGAAACCTTCCTCGGAAGAAATTGATGACAAGGTCGAATATCGGAAAAGAACGTATACAATATCAAATTACCCGCGACCATCTGAATTCGAAATCCCGGAAGTAGTTGGAAAGGAGCACACTAGAAGTGACAACAAAGAAAGTGAAATTTGTAAAGACGCAAATTTGAGCGTCGGTCAAAGCGCAAAAGGACGGAAGTATGAGATAACTGCCAAAGCGAACTTAAAAAACCAGACGCTGGGAGAAGCGAATCAAAGCAGGACCCATGGTCAAACACCAAGGTGTAAATTCATCTTTTGTGGAAAGACTTTACACCTTGACAATGTTACCGACCATGATTCAGTCTACTCACACATGGAGGCACTGCGCATGCACTTGGAGGAAAAATTAGGTACCAGACTTCTGACCGAGGTTTATCGTTACGTCACAAATGTGCCGCTTGAGGAACATGAAAGGGTGAAGCAAACGGTTTTGTGTATGCTTGGGGAAGAATACATGACGTATTTCCCGGTTTTACTTCAGCTTGTGGCTTGCGAGGCATTATACTTCCATTGACTAGAATCATTATTAAATAGAGATGGCCCATTTAAGATAACTGCAAAGTGACTAGCTAGAAAGCAATTATTAAAGATAGAAATTTAGTCCCTTCTTGTATATGAAATTACTATACTCATAACTTAATGGTATATACATTCTCTACCATAAATTTTGCATTTTTATCTTAAATTCAATGTTTATTGAACCTTAAATATTGTAATTCATTTATCTTAGGTGTCTTTTGAGATCAATAAAGATATCAAGTAATTTCAAACTTAAAACGGACTGACGAACGACGTTAAAACCAAATCGGAATCGTTCCTACCTAACCTGCGAGTTTACCTCGATGTGAGAGCCTGTGATCTTATTCTTTGTTTAATTTATTGTTGTCCTAGTGATACCGATTTTACTGAAAACTGCATTTTGGCAAACTTCAATTCACAGTCAATCACTGGCAAAAATATCAAAGCAATCGAACAAGGATAAAAAGATTTTTTAAGGGGATTGAAAAATCTTGATGTGGTCTCCGAAAAACTGTATGGAAACATCTTTAACAGCCCATTGATTTTCGACTAATACTTAACAATTATTCCTCGAGCCCGAATCGGCTCTGAGTCAAAAGCCCATGAGGCCGAAGTTTTAGTAAAATCCAACTAGTTGGTCACAAATATCGAGAAAAAAAAATTTAGCTAGTGAAAGCTAGACTTTAATCCTTTTTGCAGCCAAAAAGCCCGCGCTTTTCGCTACTAGTGGGCTACAACATATAGCCTAGTAGTAGCTCAACCAATCAGAACGCAGCATTGATAATAGACCACTAGTCGGATTTTACTAATAATCTTTACTTAGTACGAGCTAATACGTATTCTGTTTTATTAGTTGAGAACAAATTGAAATAGTTACTTTATTACCTATTGATTTTCGATTAACTCAAGCGTTCTTCAATATAGAGGACCCCCAGCAGAGTTTTAGAACATCACGCGCTTGTTACCTATGTCACGTGTCCCTGCGTGACATTCAAGATGGCGGCGTTGTCGTGTGATATTTCAGTTGTGAAAGAAGGGTGTTCAGAGCTTGGAGAGGGGCCGCATTGGGACGAAAAGACTCAAAGAATTATATGGGTGGATATCTTAGGACACAGTGTTCATTTGCTTGATCCAGTGACAGGAAAGGTGCGGTTTAATTTACTTGTCCGTCATGGCAGCTGGAGTATTAAACCATATTTTTAAGCCTACTGGATATTTTGAAGTCCCTTAGGCCTTTAATTATTTGTTTATATTCAAATCGAAAAGTTTTGTTTTTCACATGGTGGATTTAGTTCTTGATTCGATTATCGAGATTAGATCCTTTTTTTCCAGGTAAAATTTTGTCAATAAAATAAATATATAATTATGGCTCATCAGTCAATTCCAAGCGTGCCCATCCCCCCTCCCTCCCCTTGGGAATTTGTCGGGCCTTTTTCATTTTGTTTTGGAAAGGCTGCAAATGTCCCACAGTGGAGCTGGGTGTTCATACAAAAACCCCACGGCGGGGCTTAAAAATAAGGTCCAAATGCCCTACCCAGGTGCAACACCAAAATTGCATTTTCCAGTAGGATAAGCTGCAAATACCATATATATGAGAAATCTGTAATAATCTGATGAAACTCGCACAAGAAGCACTCTACACAAATCACTCCTAGCTGCTAGTTGAAATAACTGTAAAAAAGATCATTGATCTGATCAATCTTAATGACAGAAGAATAAATTAGAATTTTAATAATTCATGTACCTTTCTTAATTTGGAAGATGGTTAATATAGTGAGTGATTAAAAGACAACCGATGGGCTTTACATGAGTATTTTCTCATCATAATGGAACTGTTGAATTGTTGCATTGATGGTACAATACACAGTGTTTATATTAGCTCTCCAATATCTTGCAAAGTTTTTCTAGGGCCACATTGGGGACATGGGTTATGGGAACTTTTGGAATTTACGGATACATAAATTCTGTACTAAACCCCTCCCCATTACCACTATGAAACAAATGTTAAAAATTAGTTTTATTTTTTTTCTAGGATGATCAATATAAGTTTGATGGACCAGTTGGAGCAGGTGGGTTGTTATGATTGAGGGAAATATTCTTAGCCTGGCAGGCATTTGAAGGAGAAAGGAGGGAGGGTATGACACATGTGAACATGAAAGATAAGGAAATTAAAGGGAACACCAGCAAGGACGCCATTATATTTGTCATTCCACACCTCATTAATCCACAAAAATCAAATAAAAGCATTCAGTTGTTTTGTTGGAAAATCATAGCCCATAGACTGCCTCTCATTTTTTCTTGTGCCTTAAAATAAAGCTGCAATAAAATAAGCAATAAAAACATGAATTGAGACAGCATTGCTACTAGTCTTGCTAACTTGGTCAAAAAGATTTTTGTTTATGTAAACTGACTAAATCCTCTGTTTGAAACCATCTTACGTCATCTTCTGGTGTGGATTACCCTGTAAGTCCCAAGCTATTAACAGTGATTAACATCAATATTCTCTTTACAACATCAAGGTTATGAGAATTGCTAAAATGATCACTGAGAGGAAAATGTTTTGATTTGTTCTTCTACAGTGAAACCCTGCTTACGGCCACCTCGGTAATACTATCACCTTCCTGTTATTATGGCCGCTTTTTTTTGGCTGCACAGCAAAACAGCCATCCATTTTCATGTAAAAAGCCCTGGTTAATACGGCCACCTGTCAATACGGCCAAATGTTTTTGGCCCATTGGTGACCGTATTAATTGGGTTTCACTGTAGTGTTTTCTCTCAACTTATTCTTTACATATGTGTATAGAGATGAGTGTGGACAATTTTGTAAAGGATATTGGGACTTTAGGGGTTAATTTTGTATCTTTCTTTCTCACACATAAATAAATTTTATATTGTCAATGAATCTATAATGTCTAGAAGGTCCAGAAGCATATGTCAAATCATTTTCAGTAGTCCCTGGCAAAGGTAGAAAATTATGGTAGTGTGACAATGCTGGTTAACGATTTATCTAATTTAACAATGTATGTACATGTATTTTATAAACTCTATTTTTCATAGCTGTACCAAGGCAAAAAGGTGGTTCTCTCGTTGTGGCAGCCAAGAGAGACTTTCTGTTCCTAGATCTAGAGGTACATGTAGTACTGTTGACCAGTGATTAACCTTTCCTGTCATATTAAGCTAGTGAAGTGATTTCTCTGCACCTGCCTTTGCAAAAACAAGGGGGGTTAACCATCTTATGCTGTGCTGAAAAAAGTGGATGTATTGTATACTTTATATAAATATTTGAGTCCAGCCTCCTTATTACAGACACATACCAAACGTCATATTATATATAATATAATATGATCCCTATGCAGTCAGTTCTCTCCCACACGGACAGGTTCAGGACTGGCCTCAACTGTCTGTCTTAGAGAGGTGTCTTGTTTATAGACAGTTGAGGTATCATGACACCAGTAATATTACAAGAAAATATCAAGCTAACAATGGATGTGATAGGAAAGTAGAATCATTCTCTCACTGTACAATCAAACATTTATTACAAGCTAACATTCATGGCTTAATGGTCTAAAAGTGTAACTGGAACAAGACCACAAAATGATAAGAATCAGTGACCGTACCAAAAATGTCCCTTCTTGAGTTAGAGCTTTAACTCATGACTGCAAAACAAACTGTAATACAGTACCGTAAGTACTTAATTTGCTTCCTCATACAGCAATCTTCTGTTATGTACTAGAGAACCTACTTTCTACATATTTTTGAGGTATTTGTGTCTGTTGACAGTTTTGTGACCACCCTGCGGGTCACTTCAACTTATATGTTTTAGGCTGGTGGCTGCATATGGCTTGAGATAAATGGTACCTAAATCAAAGTTACCTATGGATGATCTTACTGTACTGTAAATCCCCTCTACCTCGATTTTGGAGCCATTGAAGCATTTAACAGTACAGAATAATACCTCTGTGCTTTAGGGCTAGCTATTAGATGGCCTTCATTGTCCAGGATGTAGCCGAGCCAAGCAGTTTGAATGTCATGATTGCATTTTGATATGGACGTGTTTCAACTGCAGCAATTTGGCTTTAGATTATGTAGCAGATGACCATGCAATAAACTAAAGGAAACTCTGAGCAATAAAATAATAAATAACTAATTCAAATGATATTTAACTAATAGTGAATCCCTTTTTCCTTATTAATAAACAGACAGGGTACAAAGAAGTTGTAACTTCAATTGATAGTAAGTTTCATTGTATTTGGTGTCTGTTTCACTTATCATCAATAATTGCTACATCATGTTATGAAAGCTATTTAGTCTTCTCTGTTGGGTCATCAAAGATCTCAGGTACTTGTATTTTCTAAGCTGAATGTTTCCTACTGTATACTTTTTTAAAGCAACACTCATGTAATACGAAATTCATTTATTATGACTTATGAGTATTAAAGCCACTGATTTTGTTCTGGATTCAAATATTAACAGGTAATTAAAATTATTGATTGACATATAGTGTTTTATTGCAGATGACAAACCAGACAATCGCTTCAATGATGGAAAATGTGACTTGGTTAGTACTTCATCATTTATTACTATACATTAAGACAACTGGAAGTGGAAAGCATTTTGTTACAGTGTTATCTGTATCACTTAAGTATTCCTTTTTCTTGCAGTCTGTAGTTATACATAACACATATAGATGTGGCACGTCATAATTAATTATTACTGTATGTAATACTTTAATCACATTACTAGTGCAAACAGTCTGATCCTGTTATGGTCATCTTTTCTTATAACTTTTTTTTGTAATTATTTTACAGACTGGTAGATTTTGGGCTGGTAGGTACAAAGCAAATCTATATTATCACCACAACTTGATCAAGATGGAAAAACCCATCACCTAGCTTACAAGTGACAGAGAGGCTGAGTCAGTCAGTTTACATACATAGTTGAAGCTCTTTTATCAGACACTCTGGACAGCCAAAGTCCCGTTTAAACTCCTTGCGAAAAATCAAACTGAGAAATCTGAACTTCCAGCAAGTGAATAAACCAGATATTTACCATACTGGATCAGTCCATGCTCATGAAGTGTTACAGTCGTGATTGATAATAAAATTTATCAGAGGTGCGTGAGAGCCTTAAAAGACGGAGCTAGACTGTTCACAGTCCCCTATTTTCTCGTAAGATCGTCGGGATCGAAGACTTTTCGTCACGGTCGGCCATCTTGGTGGAGTGATAAATCTCTTAAGGGGGTGGGGGACGGTTTGAGAACCCTCCTCCGCTATAAACCCCGACGCCCGGCCCCTTGGTACATATGAAACCTAGATGGCTGCCCGTACCAGTAAGCGCTCGATCCTGACGGTCTTACGAAAAAAATATGGGACTGTGAACAGGGTTTATTAGAGAGAGGGGCTTAATGGACGATTTTAGGGTGGGATCGCGTTAAAAATTAAATCGTTCCTCAGTTACTAAGTATACATCTGTTCATGTAGATCTTCTTTTGTTGGTTTTTTTTTTGCGATCTAAGGAACCATGGGTCCTGAGCCAATTCCCACGAAAGTTGTACCAAATCAGGGATCATTAGTGAGTATGCCCTTCAATTAAGTTGAAACATTTTTTTAAGATTTGTACTAGATGTCCAATTACAAAGGAATTGATAAGAAAAGATTCATTTTTGGGGGGATGAGCTAACCTGATTTGTCGGGCAACTTAGCTTTGATTAACAAACTGTTTACTTAAGAAATGACAAACCATTATTTATGATCTATGAGTGCACGACGAGAACGAAGGAATTTTTTTTCGTGTGGAGACGTTTCACCGTCTTCCGCCATTACAATACAGCCGGCAGCTTCAACAAATCTTTTCGTGTGGCCATTTTTGTAAAAGGTCGCGTTTTCTTGTTTTCAATATATTTTTTTCACGCAGTCATACGATTTTCAGGGTTATCTTGACTGTTATTTCACGTTGGTTGTCGTGTGCAGATCAATGCCACATGCTCCCTCTGCTCGGGAAAGTTGTAAAATGTACTTCGTCATGACATTGAGTCTGGTTAAAACTTCCTTAGATTTGGACATGGAGACTAAAGTTAGCCGAATGCCCAATTTTTATGTCAGCAAATGGATTTTGCGCCTTCAGTGCGGGCCATTGTTGCAAGTAGAAATTGTGAATAACTTGCCTACCAGACAGACAGCAAAACACGAATTATTTCCATGAAATTAAAAAATTCTTAAATGGGCTCTTCACCACTAAGACCTATTTTCTGGAATTTTCTGCTGGCTGCTATCCCTGTCCACTGTCGCTATCTCAAAACAGATGTTCTTCACGTTTCCTTATAGGGCATTTATTTTAGTACGGTGTCAGTCTAGAAATGGTAAAGGTGCAACATGCAACCATCGAGTTATGGATGCACGGGGGAGGTTTCTTAGCACGAAAGAAGCGTAAGAGTTGAGTAACTATAAGCCTCTTGAGTGCTTAGCAAACCTTCCAAGTGCATCCATAACTCGATGGTTGCACAGCGGCAATATTTACCATTTTCATTATAACAGAATCATCTGCCCACGCTATGGCGTGTGCAAATTCGCAAACTATGAGGTAAAAACAATATATATTCTGTGTAGAAAGTGACGCGTACGGCTTTGAGCACAATCATCCAAAGCCAAATAGTAAATTGGTAATTGACCAATCAAAGCGCGCGCTTTACTTTTGTTCTATCACAATTCTGATTAAGACTTTGTACATCAAAACTTCCTTAGTTCCTTCTTTTTGCTTATCTTTTCTAACGTTTGTGTAGGACTGTTTGTTAGTTAACGTATACGTCTTTTTTCTGAACGTTTCTCCTCAGTTCTTACTTGTCCCTAACAGATATCCTTTAGTTCGTTCTCTTCTTAGGTTGCACATTTACATCAGGGTTTCCTTCACTGAGATATAAAATATTTAAAATATTTTAGTCTGGGAAATCCGATCATTTTTCCCATCAAACAGACATCCTCTGAACAGTGACCTGCCAATGAGGTATGGTGGTTCAGTGGTAGCTGTTTCAAGGCGTCGTTGAATCTGCAGTATATAAATTTTTGTGTAGACTACTGGCATACATGTATTTGCTCATAGAATACGGTACTATTCCTACTTTTCTTCTTTTATTGCAGTATTCATTAAATTGTGACCTTACAGTGCAACACTTGGTTGACAAGGTAATTCTCTTGGCATGATAGGTGGCGTAAAATTTGACCACATATTAGGGAGCTTAGGCAAAGGCGTTTTTGAGGCTGCGCACGTCATCTGGGAGAGAAGCCTTATCCCTTTAAAAATATGACAGAAAGTTACTAATTGGTATTGCTAAGTGTCTTTACTCTTACAGATTCGATTTGCCCTAAAATATGGGCAAAAGCATTGCCTAAGAATGCAAGAAGTCCGCTTCTGTCGCTCAGACACGTCTTTGCCGCTATTCTCTCCAGATGTTTTCTTTAAACATTCTATTTTTTCTATTTAAGGTCTCAATATCCAATGGTATTGCTTGGAATGGAGAAAAGAAGGCTTTTTATCATGTTGACACATTTGAAAGGTACGTACCTCCATTGCTTCGAAAATGTCATACTAACCCATTGGCGAGGATAATTACAGTGCAGCTGTTAAAAAAAACGGAACAGTTGCATCGGAAATTTATGACTAAAGAACAAAGAACTTGTAATAATTGTAGGTAGACTCTCATGTTGTTTCATTAGATAAAAAGCTTTTTACCACGCTGTGTGGCTACTTCCAAGTGCATGATTAGGTACAGGCTGCACTGATTTATTTACTGCATTGAAAACCCGCGTATTAGAACCTGGATTTTTCCAACTTAGCCTAAACAGCTTCTTATAGAAATGGTATTACGTGGGATTTAAGGCTACTTAGGTTCTTAAATAGGTTCTTAATTTGATAGGGGCACTAGCGATCAGCACTGATAACTACTACAGGGCATATGCGTGTGATATGGAATATATTGCTGTCTTAAATATTATCTAGAATACAGTTTAGATGAGAACCATACAGTAAATTTATCTTTCCAAAGTACTAGCATGCACGTCTTTCTTGCTGCATTGTCCATAAAATGCTGTGTTGGCGAAGACATGATATGGATTTAATTTTCTTTCATTCGGCTTTGAATCTTACTGACTGAAACCTAGACTAAAATTTTTTTCTGTATTTTCATCTGTGCCTTCATTTTTGTAAAATAAGAACCTATAGAAAATTTTACACTAAATAGGTTCTTATGAAAAGTGGGTTTAAAATGAAATTTAGCCTAGCAGGTTCTTAAATTTTAGGTTCTTATTAATGCGGTTTTTTACTGTATGGTGACTCCTGGGACTCAGCCTGTGAAAAATCGTGAGTCACAGATCGATCGATCATCTTTGCGTCCAACGTGACGCATGTCATCAATTATTTTGCTTCTTTTGGGGAATTTTCAGGGGTAACAAAAACGGTTACAGAAACGAGTGTCACCATTGTTTCCTGGATGACTAGGCCCCGATTTTATTTCTATTGGTTGGAAATCCGAAATATAGCTGTTCTTGAACGTCGACTTGCAGGAAAATAGACGCATTTGATTATGACGCAACTAGTGGTACGTTACTAAATAGGAGGACTATTGTGAAGGTTGATCCGTCTCTTGGAGTAAGTTGATTCATTAGTTCTAAAATAATTGTATTCTGAAGATGACATCAGCTTCTAGTCACTTATTTCAAGCTGACTTATTTTATTTTGTGGGCCTCTCTCTAAAGGCTTTTCTGTCAGAGCTTTAGCCTTAATCAGCTGATACAGTGGCATTGTCGCATGTCATATCTTCACTCTGAGAGAGTCGCCGTTCTTTATTTTATCAAGTGGCCTGGACAGACTGTGGACCTTAATTAGCGTGTACATGTACTTATAAAAAAGTTTAATAATGCTTCAGTTCATTTCACCCATTGAAAAGCATACATTTTGACTCCGATGGTTATTAGCAGTGTAACGCTAACGGTGTCTGTTTGGTTTATCAGTATCCAGATGGAATGACTATCGATGTTGATGGCATGTTATGGGTTGCTATGTACAATGGATGGAAGGTGAGTTTGAGGTAACATATCAAACACAACACACAGTGCGTCATTCCGGCGATATCCATATTCTGCTCTAAAAAGAGCGTTTCACCTTATAGCTAAACACTGAGAAGTGATATTATCAAATACCAGAAGGAGTGTTTCATCCGATATCTAACCACCGAGAGGCAATACTGTATGTCAAACACGACTCGCAGATTTTTATCTGATATCCAGACATCAAGAAGTCTGAGAAGTGGGGTGATAACAAGGCGCAAGACCCGGTCATCATGGTGTCTGGATATCAGATAAAAGACTGAGTGGAGTGTTTGATATAGCTTCTCAAATGATCAACAGTTCTTAAAGAAATTGTCATCTTTATATGGTATTTGTTGCCCTGTAGATTGTGCGGTACAATCCTGATACTGGGGAATGTCTCAGCCAATTAAATCTTCCGGTCTCTAAAGTCACGTCATGCTGTTGGGCCGGAGTAAATCACGATGAGCTTATTGTCACAAGCGAAAGGTTGGTCAAAGTCATTTTCCTGAATTAGAAGCTGCAGTGTGATTTGTGGCAAACTTTGCCAATTGGTTGTCTATGTTGTGGACACTTAAATTTTGAAGTAAAATCGAGGGTGTCAATATGTGTAGGAGCAGGAACGACTTGCATTAATCAATTCCTAAAGTGCCAAGATTATTACGAGTATTTGCTCGGAGGCGATTGTCTTGTTTTCTACACTGGAAATTAGTCTATATTTTTGCTCAAGTGATAGAAAGTAACTGCTCACTATAAAATCTGAGAGGAAAACTGATAGGTCCGTACACTCTTTAAATAAATAAATAAATAAATAAAAAATAAAATGAAGAATTACCTCTCTGAGGAGAGCCGCCATGTTTAAATGTACGCGTCAGTCTCGACCCAGAGCTCTTTTGCGCATGTAGAGGAGAGAGATCAAGAGCTCTGGGGAAACCTGGAGCAAGATTGTCTCTGATTGGTTTCAGCAAATAAAAAAAAACAATAAAAGTGTTTCTGATTGATCCATTCAAGTTTGCACGAGAGCGGTTGAATGTTGAAGTAAACACGACAGGCCGATTCTTGATTTCAGCGATTCCAAAACAACATTTGCGCGACTAGTTAGACAGAATTACTGGATTTTCCAATTTTCAAATAAAATAGCTTAGCTACATATCGAAAATTGAACCAGAAAAAGATTTTAATGTGAAAAAGTAAAATAAAAATACACCGACATCTTTGCCAGCTATAATTTAAGAAGCATGACACATTACTGATTTTTCTTTGACTTCCACGTTATCGCATTCACACTAAGTAGTCGAGTATGAATGAGAACTTGAGCTTCTTATCGTAAATTGCCCAAAAACAGAATTGCAAGAAAAAATAAAGGAAAAAGTCAATCGCTCCCTAAAGTGATGCGTGTACAATGCTACTAGATATTCTTCTTTTCACACGATATCGCATTTCAAAGCAGCTTCGCTAAAGTGTTAATGTTCATGAACAAACATAAATAAAAGGACGCTAAATTCAACACTTCAAGTCTCAAATCTGTGATTGGGAACGTTTAACGGTATTTTCTCAGCAGCTACCACAAGAACCTTGGATACTTGAAAATTCCACAAGGCCGTTAACTGAATTTCTTCAGTTCTAATACCGAAGCAGCACAAGACTTTCACGATGAAGTAGATATAAAAGAAGCCAAAAGTTTGCTGGGATCAAAGAGCATGCGCTGTGAGGCCCAAACAGCCAGATTTTGGCTACTCCGGCGCAGAGTTTCCCAGAGCTTACGCGCGCATTCCCAAACTCTTAGCACTGGGGTCGAGAATGATGTGCACGTGTTAATCACGCGTGAAACTATGCGCAATAAGGATGCGCAGTGCAATACTAGGGAATAAGTAAGTCCATCTAGCCGTTTTATCCGTCAAAAAGTCGATCGAGCGAATCACTAACGCGAGGCGTTATTTCTTTTGTCTACAACCCTCCAATCGCCCCATCTCTTCAATAAAGTTTGATGTTTACTTTAGTTAATGAATATTGATTTGGATTTTGTATCACTTCGATGTCGGAGAAAAAACTTCTCTTCATCTTCCTTACTCCAAATAGGAACCTTAAGATGCAACGACGGCGACGACAACGGGAACGTCAAAAAAGCAACAGGTTAAGATTAGCAAAACAACAACTTTGCACGTGCATCACGCTTTTTTGTACATTCTGTTGCCGTCACAGCACGACCACGACGTGAAAATGCCTAATTTCACATTTTAGGGAGGACGTAAACAATCTACTACGAAATTTTCTTCCTCTTTCTGAACTTGGATATGGTTTTTAGGAATTTAACTCCAGGAGAGTTCGCCTACGTTTGACAAAGCAAGTGAGTTGGAACTGTCGCGATGAAGACTGAATGAACGGAAATTCACTTTTTAGGCGATGTTTTCGCTGCCGTCGTCGTCGTCGGATCTTAAAGTCCCTAATATCATGGGAAAGGGGACCTGAAAAACTGCTTATGTACGCCTTGGAATATTCTAGTTTAGGCACATATCATGCATCCTTATCTCCTCTGGTAGAATTTCCAAGTCCCTGGGCAGTTATAGGCCCCCGTCCACACGAATCCCGACAGGCTGAAATCACAGGACCAAATATTTAAACGCACTTCAGCCAGTGTTTAACAAAACCACGTTCCAAGTCTTTTTCAATTTGCCAGAGATTTTATCTAAACAACATTTATTTTGAATAGTTTCATGAAAGCATATAGAGAAGACTAGAAAAGCATTTATCTTCTTAAAACAACGCAACAGAGATTCGTTGAACCGCGGCTTTAGTTAGACTTCGTTTAAATATTTGGCCCACAGTGATCACATGGAAATCAGACTTGATTTGTCAAACATGAGCAAGGCTGTTCCATAAGGGCAACGAAACACTGACAAGTGTTATTATTCCTGCTTATGTGCATTGCATTTTCCACATGTGAAATGCGACGTTTGAGCTGGGCCTCGTAAACCCTACCCCTTTAAATTTTACGTTTTCTTCCCTCGCACACACCCTCTACCTCTGCATCCACTGATTTTATCAGTGGAGGGTAACTCATGTATTTTGGTGATCCCTTATCCTTTATGATGGAGGATTTGAACAAGGATTACTAATGACAAACTTGAAAAAACCTAGGTTAAATTCCTTAAGATGCCGAATTAATCGTGACATAGCCTTTTGGTTTAAGATGACTCTTTAAATTTGTTCGCTGCTTTGTTGTTTACAGAGCTCGACTGAGTCCAGAAGAAAGACAGCAGCAGCCTCTGGCAGGCTCCATTTTTCGGATAAAAAACTTTGGAACTCGAGGATTACCAGCTGTCGCCTTCAACGGATGAAATAGAGAATTAAATAGATTTATTTTTATGAAATTTTGGATCTGCGACGGATAATGTGACCCTCATTGAGAATCTTAAACGCAAAGATCACATTTTGGTCGGCGAACGGTATAATGCTAGAAATATGAAAAGTCCTTCTGTTCTGCTTACCAATACACGGACTGATATCTGACAAGACGATGATTGCATCCTCGATTTAAAACGGGTTGCGGTTTTTCATTGCCTACTACGAGGCTGCGCACGACATTGGGTTAAAAATAAAACAACTTAACAAACAAACAAACAAAAAACCGTCCCCCAAAACAGAGTTGGTTTACAGCAAAGGAAAAGTTAGTCTCTGGTGTCTTGCTTGGGATGAAAAAGAAAACAAAAAGCAGACAAAAAAAAAACAAAAACGAGAGATTGCTCTAATCAGGTCACTACGGTCTGGATAGGTTGATTCTACATTTGCTCGCTGGGAAAAGATTGAACTTACTGGCAAAATAAAGTTTAAAGTATTAATATAGGGAGCTTTAAAGAATTGGAAATTAATTTATATATTGTGTAAGTTGTGGTACAGAATACTTATCCTTGTATGTCTAATTTTTGTACTGTTAAACCTCTCACGTACGCATGCAGAGTCTTCTAAAGCCTTTTTAAAACTTGCTTTCTATAATTATTTGTATTCCTTGTCGTGAGGGGGAGGGAGGGGTATATAGCTGCTTAGTTAACTCTAGGACCAGCATTAGGTTCAAATGTTTACCTTTAATTTAGTGTCGTGGTAACTCTACGTGGAAATTACAGCTCCTTGCAGTTAATTTCTATTGCGTAGTGGATAGGTATGTCTAAGGAGTCGAGCTCGAAGCTTACCTCCTGAGCTTAGAAGTGCTTCGTGTATTGTTATGTACAATGAACCAGACAAGCGTGGAGCGCAGCGAAACCTAGAGCTGCTAGAGTTTCTTGTCTGTAGCTTTCCTATCCCTATTAGCCGAGGGTGTCTTCGGAGATGGGGAAGAAGGAATTGTAAAGAAAGTTAATTTTCCCCTCTCCCGGTTAACTCCTTGCCCGCGGTTTCTTACCTCCTATGTACATAATCGCAAATCAGGTTCGCGCACCCAACTGATCTGATGAAAATAATAATTTTTTTTTAATAGTAAAAATCTTTATTCAATACTCATAAAAAAGACCTATGTACAGTGCTTCAGAATTAAAACGAAATTTGTACCTTAATATCTGTTAAAAAGAAGAGAAAAGATCATAATGTCTCAATATCTCTTGAAATATAAAATCCACGAAAATATTTCTCTACTAATTATTATTACTGTTACCATTGGCAATCACTACCAATATCAAGAGAGGATAAAGGGGACAGAGAAGGCATCCTCCATGCACACCCTATTCCGTAGGTAATTCGTCTTGAGTTATTTTTAAGACCACAGATCCCAAGGGGGATTAGACAACAGCCAATCACATAGCGCGAATGTGTTCCGCGTGGATGACCCACGCTCAGAGCCACGCGTCTTTCACGAATTGAGGCAGAAAAAATGGCGGAAGACGCGGAGAGCAATAATATTGCTATTCGTTTTGTCGACGGAAACGACTAAAGAGAGATTTCTGCTAAAGCTGTGTCAGCGAAACGGAAATTAAAAAGAATCGCCCTTCCTCTCTTGTGTAGAGCTAACAGTACAGCAGGGAAATCCTTAACACAGTGAATATTCTTTCAGGATCATTTATAATTTACAGTTTGAAGAGAGCAATTTCTGGTTTGATATTTATTCTTTTATTAGTCTTTTATTATTCAACAAAAATAACACTTGGTGTCCTATAATAATAATAATAATAATAATAATAATAATAATAATAATAATAATAATAATAATAATAATAATAATTTAATAACTTATATCAACAGCGCTTAACAGCTTAAAAAAACTACAATAAAATTCAAATTTGTAAAACTAATTACATGTACACGAATATTACTTGCTACTTGCTTTATTGTACAAACGACCAGTTTCAATAGACCGGCGAAATTTCTCATTTTATTAAAGCACTTCGAGTTAAACTGGTTTCACGGGTTGTCAAAGAGGCGAGCGATTCCCTTTTCCCAGGTGAGCGCCGACTCATTTCGCTTCAATATTCAGAAATGCTCTCGATCCCTTAACGCTGTCATGGCCTTTCGCCCGACATGTTTTGCATAGCGTTTAGTCATGCGAAACCTCCACGAAACATCCACGAAGCGCGCGAGGTAACTTTAATTTATCCCGATTCTAGAAAAAACTCGAGACGAATTACCTATGGGATAGGGTGTGTATGGGGGATGCCTTCTCTGCCCCCTTTATCCTCTCTTGCCAATATTTTACATCTTTTCACTAATTCCTCTTTAATATCTGCGACGATTTCAATTTGAACAAACAACGATCGATAAGAATATTATATAGTAGTAATAATTGAATATGCAATAATAATAATAACAATAATAATAATAGTGATAACATAACAATGGAAACTATTTGTCATTTTGAATTTACAATCGCAAATCTCGCCACGAATAGGCTATTAACAATTGGATTATTAAAAAAATATATCAGAATTTCATTAAGTCTGGGCTATCCCAATTCCTATTTCTGCAACAAAAGATGTAATATGTTGCTCTAATGGCTATATTTATAGTTTTTTCGGATGATACAATGTTGCTGCTTCTTGTCAATGCCAATGTCATTCATCATGTCAAAAAACGTGGAGCATTCGTCCAAAGGAGCTCATGGTGAGGTTTACATATTTCACATAACTGTAAATTCTGCTCATTTCTTAATTTGATCAAGTGCAGGTATGTTTCTTTTTTACGCACTGTATTGTTGTTTAGACTCGAAACCTACTGTTAGCTCTAGCACATATAGGCACTTAAATGATTTAGGAAAAGAAGATCTTGAGGATAATTTTCACCAGGTCAGTTTTTTTCTGTTGTTTCCTTCTGCCAATAACACATTTTAACCAGTCGGTAGCTTGTTTCCTGTGTCTGAAAATAATAAACCCATTTCTTACTTCCTCTTTTTAATTCGACAGTTCTCTCTTATATGACCAGAATGTCTGCCGAGCGGGAGGTCGTGGGTTTAAACCCCGGCCGGGCCAACAACCATCATCCTTCTTCCATTGGTCAAATCGAAGGGGACGTAAAAGAACCCACACTCCTGTTCTAAAAGAGTAGCGGAAGTTTCCGCGGTGGTGTGGTCTACCGGACCTTTCACGCATCACGTATCATTCATATCATGGGCGATGGGTGGATTACGGTAAGCTCATAAATGGACTGATAGCGGCTGCCACTTGCACCCTTGTATGCTGAAGTCCGAGCTTACTGTTAACATATTATGTAAAGAGGGCGCGTTTTGTTGTTGTCTAATCCACGACATGACATGACATTACTCTCTAGCTGCACCGAGTCGCATGCAGATGGCGCAAACGCTTGCCATCCCAAAGCAAGAAAAAAAAAAAAGAAAAAAAAATACCTGTGTATATAAATTCCAAATTACGGCCTGCATTTATATAATGAAGAGAAGATAGCAATTCGCATTGAAATTTAAACACCTGTGTTAATGTACCTGTACTTTGTAATCGTGTATTAAACCTAAAACAAGAAAAAGTACTTCACGGGGAGTCTCGGAACTGAAAATCTCATTTGCTGCTAACTATTGGAATTAGAGAATTTAACTTCACTATATATCAGGAAATGACCAGCCTGGGAATTTAAGTATTCCTACAAAGTTTGGTGCTTGTATCAAAAATTGCATGCCTCCCGGACTATTCCCAACGCTGTTGAAGTCATTCCAGTTCGTACCCATCGGGAGAAAAGGCGCGACGGAAACTTTCTTCGCGCTTTTCTCCCGACCCGACTGACTGCCCCTGGGTCAACCCTGGGTCTCCGAGGATGGTTCGTACCCAGGTTTCGTCGGCCACGTATTGTCAGATGAATGGAATCATGGCGGTGCCGGAAATTTCCGTCCTCAGTGAAAATGTGCGCGCTAAGCTTGGAGAAGGACCACTCTGGGATACAACTACGCAGAAATTACTCTGGGTGGACAGTTTTGATCACAGTGTTCATGTTTTGGACGTAGAAAAAGGCGAGGTATAGAATGAATTTATATAGTTTTTAACAGGTTTTAATGTAACTTCATGTTAATTTTCTAAAGATGAAGCTCTTGTAATGTGGAGCATCACAGGTCTTCTTTTATTATGTACATTTTTTCCTTGATGAATGCTAAAAGGAGAAGGAGAAGTTGAACAATATTTGTGACTTTTGATATGCGACGTAAAGTTCATATATATACTGTATATATGGAAGGCCAGGGTTGTCTAACTTGGGGGGCGTGGATGGGTATTTAAAGCCATACTCTATAGAAGACAACAAAGTTTAATTTGAATTTTATGTATACAGTGACAAAAATGTGATATTGAGAACAATCTTTTGTGGATGTCATGGTAAGAGATTATATTTATGCAACAGGTGTATTAATTAAAAAATATAAAACCCTTGTCAAAATCGAAGTCAAACATATCAGCAGGGAAAGGAATGATTGCAAACAGTATAGCCTGCGTAGCAATCGTTTCCAATCGAGTTATTGCGTGAAAAAAGTTAGAGCAGGAGCAAAAAAAAAGGTGGAAGGAGAAGGGGAAGGGGAGAAGAGGAAACGCTTGCCCGCAAACCCCACGATTCTGGAAAATGCCCCTTGATATAGTATAATGGACAGATTACCCCTGGATTACCAAATTTGTAAAATTACTTTGTTCTCTAATAGAACACGTTTCAAGCGATTGCAAAAACTGTAATAAAAAAGGTTTACGATAAAAGAAGGTTAAAACTCTGAGCGATTGCTGCGGAATTTCTTGTTTTTTATTGTGTGGCTTTATCTCATCTGAAACCTTGTTGAAAGTCGAAATGTCAAAAATGATTTCTCAGGAACAATTCACGTCGCCGGCAGAGCGGCTGCTCTTCAGCCCATGTCGAAACGTTCCGTACAATACATACCGCTAAATTTCCAATAAACAAAAAGAATTATTTCGTTTCAAAAAGCTGACAAGTTGCTTGTCCATGGCGGCTTTAGCTAGTGTCGAGTACCGATGTTCTGATTTACGTTGATGTTATCTCCAACAAACAGTCCATTTTTTTTAGTCAGATCAGCACGCGGTCATTCCCAATAAACTGGCCTCCCCTAGTCTCTACTGCTCGATTTCCACTTATACTTTGAAGACTCTGATCTCATAAACCTTCGCACAAACACGATTCAAATAGATATCACTCCAAAGCAATTGCAATCTGCGACCACAAATCACACCAGATCTGTGTCGCACGTAAACAAAGCATACCTAGTTTGATTGATGTTTCGAGTGCTAAGTAATCAACACTACCAACACCGCACCAATCAGAAGCTGCGTTCGTAGGCGAACGCATTTTCTCAAAATCGTGGGGTTTGCGGGCAAGCATTTCCTTCTTTCCCCTCCCCCTCCCCCATCATTCCTTTTTATGCTCTCTTCCCAACTTTCTCGACGAAATCGCGCGGAAACGCTTGCTACGCAGGCTACCAACAGTATAAACCACATAGCTACTGTACTTCCTAATTAGAAGTGCTTTCTTCCAATGTAGCAATTATGAATAATAGTCCTTCCATGAGAAAAGAAGCTCTAATCCCTTTTCTTCACTTTCAATTGCATCAATTAAGATATCACAGTGCTTTCTCTACTTGTTTTAAATACTTCATAAGTGATATAAACAAAGGAGAACGATCATTCAGTTACTACTGTCCCTTCAGGGTTCTTCTGGGCCACATTTCCTTCAAATACTCCTCACAATCTTGGTATGTCTGATATTTTTCAGGATAAAAGTTATCAAGTAGACGGTATTGTTGGAAGCGGTAGGTGTTTCCTCCAGTTTAGTTAATTGGCCTACAAAAACGTTTTTTAATGGGTAAGAAGACTTATACACTAGTCAACTCTCTCTA